AAGGTTTCTTTTTCGGGGACTCCAAAGAGGCATATGATGGGGCATGGAGGTGCCTTCGACAGAGGTATGGTCATCCTTTTAATATCCAACAAGCGTTCCGGAAGAAGCTAAGTGCTTGGCCGAAGATATCCTCCAAAGATGCCATAGGTCTTCAGAAGTTTGCGGACTACTTAAAGTCTTGTGATGATGCTATGCCATATGTCACTGGCCTCCAGGTGCTAAACGACTGCTATGAGAATCAAAAGATGATAGCCAAACTTCCAGACTGGCTGATTAGTAGCTGGAATAGGGTGGTATCAAATGAGTTGGAAGGCGGCAGCTATCCTTCATTTTCTAAGTTTGTGAAATTTGTTGCTAAGGAGGCAAGGATAGCCAACAATCCCATTTCTTCTCTAGGTGCCCTGAAATCTGAGGACTCTCAAAGAGAATCAAGTCCCAAGACCTTCAAGATCAAGCGAGAAGCAAGAAATAAAGGATCTGCTTTGGCTGTCAACACCAAGGAAAGTGCCAAAGGCAAGAACATCCCAAACCAAGTCAAGAAGGCTCCAAAACCTTGCTGCCTGTGTAGTGAAACTGGACACAAGTCCGAGGACTGTGACAAGTTTTTGGCCAAGCCACTTTCTGAACGCAGGAAGTTTGTTCAAGAAAATCATGTATGCTTTGGTTGCTTACAGAAGGGGCATTTTTCTAAGGCATGTAAACAAAGGCTGAAGTGTAGTACATGTGGTAAGCGCCATCCCACGGCTCTTCATGAGGAAAACCCTACGATAAGAGAGGACGATGCGCACAAGAGTGAAGGAGCTTCTAAGGACAGGGCTACGTCTTGCCAAGTCCGTTCTGGAAAACAAGCTAGCACTTCGATGATTGTACCAGTGTGGGTCGCGGCAGAACAAGCACCATCGTCAGAGATTCTGACTTACGCCCTCCTGGATACCCAGAGTGATTCATCGTTCATTCTAGATGAAGTAGCGCAAGCCCTGAATGCTAAGCAGCAACCCATACGCTTAAAGTTATCTACTATGACTTCGTCATCGAACATTGATTGCAGCGTGACCTCAAGTATCTTAGTTAGAGGTATGATGTCGCCCTCCCAGCTCAAGATAGGAAAATGCTATACGCGTGACTTCATACCGACTGATAGAGAACACATCCCAAGCAGAAGTACTGCTGAGAAGTGGACTCATCTCCAAGATGTTGCAAGAGAGATGCCAGCACTTCAGAGATGCGAAGTCGGCCTACTGATAGGCTATAATTGCCCAAGAGCTCTGACACCAAGACAAGTAGTTACTGGTAGCGATGTAGAACCATTTGCTATTCGAACTGACCTCGGCTGGAGTATTGTTGGCTTTGCCGAAGAAGAGAATGCCATGGACTTCAGTAGCCAGTGTGGGAGGGTTTCTACTCGCGAGATACCATTTCCGAAGCCAAAGGAGATCATAGGGTTGCTTGAGGCAGATTTCGCAGAGGACAAATCGCCGGACAAAGCATGCTCTCAGAATGACCTACAATTCTTGAAACACCTTGAGACCAACATTGTACAATGCGAGGATGGTCATTTGCAGATGCCGCTGCCCTTCAAGACCCGGCCAAACCTTCCAAGCAACAAAAGGTTGGCAACCGTTCGATTCTAACACCTCCATCGAAAGCTTAAGAAGGACGAAGCATATAGAGACAACTATACAAGCTTCATGACAGATATCATAAATGGTGGCTTTGCAGAACAAGTAGAGACCAAGGCGCCGCCTGGAGAAACAAATTACATACCACATCATGGTGTGTATCATCCAATGAAGAAGAAGATGAGAATAGTGTTTGATTGTTCCGCGAAGTACGGCGGCACCTGCCTTAACGATCATCTGCTCAAGGGACCGGACATGATAAACTCATTGGTGGGAGTCCTTTGTCGGTTCAGGAAGCACAATGTAGCAGTGCTATGTGATGTTGAGAAGATGTTCTTTCAGTTTAGGGTCGCTGAGGATGACCGAGACCTCCTGCGCTTCCTGTGGTTCCAAGATAACGACATCAACAAGGAGCCAGTGGATTATCGCATGAACGTCCATCTTTTTGGTGCCGCTTCTTCGCCAGGTTGCGCCAATTATGGCTTAAAGTATCTGGCTAGACATTGCAGCAATGAATTTCCATTGGCATCTCGTTTCGTCGAGCGCAGCTTCTATGTGGATGATGGGCTGGTGAGTGTATCCAGTGAAGAGGAAGCCATTCAGTTGGCCAATGAAGCCAGACAACTTTGCAGCAAGGGTGGCTTACGTCTCCACAAGTTTGTTTCGAATTCTAAGGCAGTTCTGGAGAGTCTGCCAAAGTCTGAGCGTGCCAGTGATGTCACTGACTCAAACTTGGATTTTGAGGATCAAGTAGAGCGTGCTCTGGGGATAGTTTGGAATGTGGCCACGGATGCCTTTTGTTTCAGAATTTCCCTGAAAGAGAAACCAATGACACGGCGGGGAATTCTGTCCATAGTCGCATCCCTTTATGACCCTCTCGGATTTGTGGCTCCGGTCGTTCTCGATGGCAAGAGAATCCTTCAAGAAATGTGTCGTAGCGGGCTTGGGTGGGATGATCCAGTACCCGAGAACCTGCAATCAAGGTGGGAGCAATGGTGTAAGGAAATCCCGCAGCTAGAGGAGCTAAGAATACCTCGGTGTTATCATCCTGCCGAGTTTGGTGATCCTGTAACAGTGCAGCTACACCATTTCTCGGATGCCAGCAAGTCTGGTTATGGCCAATGCTCTTATTTGCATCTTGTTAACCAGAAAGGAGAAGTTCACTGTTGTCTGATCTTCGGCAAATCAAGGGTTGCGCCAACCAAGGTGGTTACAATTCCCAGGTTAGAGTTGACAGCGGCAGTTGTGTCAGCTAAGGCGCACTCTATGTTGAAAGAAGAGCTAGAGTATCATGATGCCGAAGATTTCTTCTGGACAGATTCCCAAGTAGTCCTGGGATACATCCACAATGATGCGCGGAGGTTCCACACGTTTGTTGCTAATCGAGTCCAGCTAATCAGAGATAGGACTTCTCCCGACCAATGGCATTATGTCTCGACTGATCAGAACCCTGCTGACCATGCTTCCAGAGGATTGAGCGTAAGTCAGCTGGGTAGCACAAATTGGTTCCAAGGACCAAGCTTCCTCTGGGAGAAAGACTTTGCAGTAGGAAGTATCTCTCCGACACTCGCCGTTGGGGATCCGGAAGTGAGAGCAACCAACCTATCGACAACTACTCATTCGGAACCGTTGAACCTCCTCTCGCGCCTTACCAGGATCTCTAGTTGGAAGATGATGATCAAGGTATTGGCTCGTCTACGGATGGTAGTGAAGGGAGCAAGACAAGGTTCCTTAGTTCGTGAGAGAAAGGACGCAGAGCTGTTCATTCTGCGGTTAGTTCAACAGGAAGCTTACCCTGAAGAAATCAAGGCTCTGACGTCGGACAAGACCGTTAAAACGACAAGTACCATCCATGACCTTGACCCAATAATCCTTGATGGGATCATGCGAGTGAAGGGCAGACTTGGCGAACTATCGACAGAAGTGGCTCACCCTGTTATCCTGCCCAAGCGTAGCCCTATCACTCGGGCGATTATCCGCCACTTCCATGAGGACATCAAACATCAGGGTCGAGGAATGACGCAGAATCACCTGAGAGCCAATGGATTCTGGATTGTAAACGGATCTAAAGTCGTTGCAGAGGTATTGCGAAAGTGTGTGTCATGCAGACGTCTTCGTAGGCCTCAAGAAGAGCAGAAAATGGCAAACTTGCCAAGAGATCGAGTAGAACCTTCGGCTCCTTTCACGAATGTGGGTATGGATTGTTTCGGTCCTTTCTTTGTAAGGAGAGGTCGTTCTGATATTAAGCGATATGGGCTTATATTCACATGTCTCTGTTCAAGAGGTATCCACATTGAGATGCTCGACGACATGACTACCGACGCATTCATCAATGCTCTCCGCTGTTTCATAGCAATTAGGGGAGCTGTCCGACAGATTAGGTGCGACCAAGGCAGTAACTTCGTAGGAGCAAGAAACGAGCTCCAATCTGCATTGAGAGAGATGACTTCAGACCAAGTGAATACGTACCTTGCAGACCAGCAATGTGAATTTGTCTTCAACGCCCCTCACTCAAGTCACGCAGGTGGCGTGTGGGAAAGACAGATTCGAACCGTCAGAAGTGTCTTAAGGGCTACCATAGACCTGTGTCCAGGAAGACTCACAGACTCCGCTCTTCGTACCTTGTTTTACGAAGCCATGGCAATCGTCAATAGCCGACCGTTAACAGTGACCAATATGAATGACCCAAGTGCGGATGCACCTCTCATGCCAAACCACCTCCTTACTCTGAAGAGGACGGTTCCATTGCCCCCTCCTGGGCAATTTGTGAAGGAGGATGTGTACACGCGTAAAGCCTGGAGAAGGGTTCAGTTCTTACTGGAACAGTTCTGGTCAAGATGGCGGAGAGAGTACTTGTTGGGACTTCAAAGACGACAGAAATGGACGATGCCCAGACGGAATTTACAAGTGGGAGACATTGTATTGCTCACTGACGATGAAGCTCCGCGTATGAAATTGCCAATTGCGATGGTCGCAGAAGCCACTCCTGATGAAGATGGTCTGGTCAGACGGGTACAGGTGCGCGTTGGAACGAAAGACCTTGACAACAAAGGTCGTCCAAACAAGAAGCTTGCCGAATACTGGAGGCCGGTTCAGAAGCTCGTACTGCTTCTGGAAAAGGTACCTCCATAGAGCAGGTATGTATGTACACTTGAGATTGTTTGGAGCGGGTACAAATGTTTGACCTTGCATTTGCACATGTACTTCGTTTTCTGGTACAGTTTAAAAATTTAGGACTCAAATTCTGATCTTGTTTGCTGCGAATTTTAGATACACAGCGCTTAAATATTGTCGCAACCTTTAAACTTGCCTTACAACCTTTGCAGTGTGTGTTATAATCTTTTACAGCACATGTTATAAACGTGCATTGTTTGAGTTCCGCATCATCACTTGTGCCATTCTGGTTTGATCAAGCTATTCAATTGCCATGTTATTCGTGTTGTAGATTGCAAGTGTACCAATTTACATGCAAGAGGTGTATGGAGTGCTTGCTTAAAAATTTCCATATTATGGTCACATTATTTCACATGCACCACTTATGTAATACTAGTAAATGCATTTTCATATATATGTAAGTGTACTCATGCATGTGATTATGTTACGAGTGAAGGCAATTTTGGTGGGAGTGTAAAGGCACTTCATACACCGTGCGGTTGTAATTGTCTATTTGGCATTCCATAATTTTATCGTCTGCGAAGATTGTAATTTTTGGCCCAATACTGGGGCACGTTATGGCGATGGAAAAGGAATTGCATCGTTAATCGGCATATTATTTATGCCTGCCTGAGACTTTGGTAACAAGTGGCACAGTGGTAAGCATAAATAGAACTTTTAGGTTTAATTTCAAGAGAACTCGCTCAGTATGCATACAGCAATCAGTGTTATCCTACTGTAGAACTTCAATAGCTCGTGTATCAGATTGATGCATTGTACGCATAGTGTGCAGGTCTTTGTGTAGTACTATAATTATGAATATTTGTTTGTATGGAAATATACAGAAACTCTTAATCAGTATCGAATTTATTGTGTAATGATAACTCAACTAGATTAAACTCAAACCTCAGTCCTGAGGAAATAAGCACTCAAATACGCCAAAACTTGATATAAGATGGTTGACATTACATTTATTGCTCACATAACATTTTTGCAATTACATTGTCTATTTAAGCTGTTTTCGACACCCATTGTATACAGTTAAATACGTTTACAAATATTCCTTATTTGTAGGATATCAGTTTAGAGTTTATTTCTAATTTTCACAACACTTAGTGTATTAAATACTGGACAGTATTGCTATTATGATAATTTAAGTCCAATTACTTTAAATTGAAGTTAATTGTTATTCACCTTAGTATAATGTTTAGACTCATAATACAGTGGAACCTTATTATTAAAGGCACTGATGTGGCAGACTTTACCTATAACAATGTATCTTCTCTCGTCCCAAGTGCCTCGTTATAATGCAGTTGCACTGTAACATGCTTTGATATGATGATATACTTATGTTGGATTTTGTTCATTTGTTTGTTTGTTTATAGTTTTTACGGGAATCTAAGGAACAAAGTGAATCAGCAAGCCAAAGAGTCAGCTTTGACCATGATGAAGAGACTAGATTCAATAAAGCTGTTTTGACTATTGTTTACCCAGTATGAGAACACGTGCGAGCTTTCGTTTGTTTGTCGTCGTAGTCCGGGCAGGCACAGTAAAAACACTTCCAACGTAGCGTCAAAATGGCCTCATCATCATCAACAAGCCTGATTATCAAGATGGAGCCAATAAATAGACGCTAGACATTTGAGTTGAGTTCAACATGACATTTCAGCTGGATGAACCTACGAACATACATATGTAACTACGTTTGGCGACGAGCACAGGATATATGCTAGAGATCAGCTAGAATTGCACCATAACGCATGAATCTCAGAATCTGAGTGGATGTTGATGGATTTTGATTTGGATTGTGAAACGATGTTGTGATCCAGTCATTTCTCATATGTCTCAATAGTTCGAGGTATGTAGAGCTGTGTATGGACGCTATGCAGTTTGATCTACACTAATGTTACAGTTACAATGAATTATGGTTGCAATGCAGCAGTGTCATCGATTTATTATTGAGGTGTATTATGGACGCTAAGCTGGAATCGGCCACAATCGTTATTATACACTGTTATAAAATACGTGGCTTTACCATAATTTGCACCAGCAGTTGGCATGCAGCCATAATGTAACAGGACTAAAGCCCAGTGTAGATGTTAGCGGATCAGCCAAGCCCAAGTTCAAGACTATTCTGTGTCAGCCTCTCGTAGCAGCCCTAGCATAATTTATGAACTAGCCTAATCCAGCTGAAGTCCAGCTTGAACAACAGCCCGGGAATCGGCCCGGTCAAGCCATACAGCCCGGGAGCCAGCGTGGTTTAGTCTTGTACAGTCCAGGTCCAGCCAGGTTTGAACTTGAAGCATAAATCAAGCCAACAACATTGAATTTATAAATGAAACATTGGATCTGAACTTGATGAAATAAAAGTAGTTAGAACCAGAGCTATAATAGGCTCTGTGAAACTTCAAGACTCTTGATAACAAATTAACAGAGGTCAAGTAAAAGTTGAATTTTAATAACTATTTCATGTATAGTAGTCTATTGAAAAGTGTTTCCAATATGATTCTGCAAATACTGCATGTTTTGTTTGCAGGTAGCCAGCATTAGTTTTGTGCTCAAGTGACAAGAAAGTTAAAGGTGTAATTTCATTACAAAGTGATATTGACATCGCAGTTCAGAGTCAAGCAAGGAAGGAATATGTGGCGATGTTGAACTTTATCGCATGATCGCGTGGTCTGCATTCAAGCCCTTTTGATAAGCGAATTTTGAGGCGTGCGTAAAGGCTTTATTGGGAGATGTAAAATCAAATTACTATGGAGTATTTGTAATTGCATTAGCAAGAAGCATTTTAAGCGGTTTTACATTGATGAGGTTGGTAGGCTTAGCGCTGTAGCTTTGCTTAAATTGATGTTTGATTTCACTCTAGTTGCATGACAATTTAATTTGGTCAATTTGCTGTACAAGGTGCAAGTGCATGGTTTAGCATAAGAGGCCAGCTCCTTATTACACTTCTGTTGTGTCAAAGCCAATTAAACATGGCAGATTCAAGAAAGTCATCAAGGGAGAGGCAGCCCACGGAAAAAATGGCCGCTCTTCAGGCCTCTGAAGAATCAAAGACAGAGCGGAAGTTTTTCAAGATGTATGGCTCCCTTAAGGCCACAGTAAAGGCAGCTAGAACAATCATTAAGACAGAGACAGAAGAAGGTCCCATCAAACAACAGATATCCATACTGGAAGCTGGAGAGAGGGAATTGATGGAAACCTACGAGATTTTGAGGAGACACAAGGTCCCCATAAGAGAGGCCACCACGAGGATGGACCGTGCCAACGCAATGGTCGGAGATAGCCTCAACGCCTTGGAAGAAGTTCTGGGATCCCTAGAAGGTCCTTTTGACGCCGAGGATCGGAAGCAGATAGCGAAAGAATTCTTGAAACAAGAATATGCTTCATCGGTCTTCAGCTCAATTTTAAGCGAAATGGACCAAGGGGTTGAAACCAGCCAACTGCGTGGAGCCACACCAGTAATTGACATTGATAGCAATCCTGGACAGCCTGTAGAATCTCGTAACACACCATCACTTCTTCCTCAAGACAAAATGTACCCAGGAGTTGGAGTAAACCAACCACCTGAAGGTATTCAAGGGCAGTCAGCAGAACCTCCTGCCAAGACGTCATCTCCTTCCCCTCAAGATGAGATGGGCCCAGAGTTTAGAGTAGGCCAGCTACATGATAGTCTACCTGATTCGCATGTGGAACCTCGTGACAAGACACCACTACAGCCGCCTCAGACAACGTCGGTTGACGTCCAGGGCTTATGTAAGGCTTTAGCAGACATGTACCACACAAGACTTCCGATGCCAGTGCCACGCACCTTTAGTGGGGATCCGCTCGAGTTTGTAGAGTTCGACAAAGGTTTCAAGACTTTGATCGAAAACCGTGGCATACCACCAACAGAGATGCTGTATTATCTGAAGCAGTACCTGACTGGTCCGGCAAGGGAGGCCGTGGAAGGTTTCTTTTTCGGGGACTCCAAAGAGGCATATGATGGGGCATGGAGGTGCCTTCGACAGAGGTATGGTCATCCTTTTAATATCCAACAAGCGTTCCGGAAGAAGCTAAGTGCTTGGCCGAAGATATCCTCCAAAGATGCCATAGGTCTTCAGAAGTTTGCGGACTACTTAAAGTCTTGTGATGATGCTATGCCATATGTCACTGGCCTCCAGGTGCTAAACGACTGCTATGAGAATCAAAAGATGATAGCCAAACTTCCAGACTGGCTGATTAGTAGCTGGAATAGGGTGGTATCAAATGAGTTGGAAGGCGGCAGCTATCCTTCATTTTCTAAGTTTGTGAAATTTGTTGCTAAGGAGGCAAGGATAGCCAACAATCCCATTTCTTCTCTAGGTGCCCTGAAATCTGAGGACTCTCAAAGAGAATCAAGTCCCAAGACCTTCAAGATCAAGCGAGAAGCAAGAAATAAAGGATCTGCTTTGGCTGTCAACACCAAGGAAAGTGCCAAAGGCAAGAACATCCCAAACCAAGTCAAGAAGGCTCCAAAACCTTGCTGCCTGTGTAGTGAAACTGGACACAAGTCCGAGGACTGTGACAAGTTTTTGGCCAAGCCACTTTCTGAACGCAGGAAGTTTGTTCAAGAAAATCATGTATGCTTTGGTTGCTTACAGAAGGGGCATTTTTCTAAGGCATGTAAACAAAGGCTGAAGTGTAGTACATGTGGTAAGCGCCATCCCACGGCTCTTCATGAGGAAAACCCTACGATAAGAGAGGACGATGCGCACAAGAGTGAAGGAGCTTCTAAGGACAGGGCTACGTCTTGCCAAGTCCGTTCTGGAAAACAAGCTAGCACTTCGATGATTGTACCAGTGTGGGTCGCGGCAGAACAAGCACCATCGTCAGAGATTCTGACTTACGCCCTCCTGGATACCCAGAGTGATTCATCGTTCATTCTAGATGAAGTAGCGCAAGCCCTGAATGCTAAGCAGCAACCCATACGCTTAAAGTTATCTACTATGACTTCGTCATCGAACATTGATTGCAGCGTGACCTCAAGTATCTTAGTTAGAGGTATGATGTCGCCCTCCCAGCTCAAGATAGGAAAATGCTATACGCGTGACTTCATACCGACTGATAGAGAACACATCCCAAGCAGAAGTACTGCTGAGAAGTGGACTCATCTCCAAGATGTTGCAAGAGAGATGCCAGCACTTCAGAGATGCGAAGTCGGCCTACTGATAGGCTATAATTGCCCAAGAGCTCTGACACCAAGACAAGTAGTTACTGGTAGCGATGTAGAACCATTTGCTATTCGAACTGACCTCGGCTGGAGTATTGTTGGCTTTGCCGAAGAAGAGAATGCCATGGACTTCAGTAGCCAGTGTGGGAGGGTTTCTACTCGCGAGATACCATTTCCGAAGCCAAAGGAGATCATAGGGTTGCTTGAGGCAGATTTCGCAGAGGACAAATCGCCGGACAAAGCATGCTCTCAGAATGACCTACAATTCTTGAAACACCTTGAGACCAACATTGTACAATGCGAGGATGGTCATTTGCAGATGCCGCTGCCCTTCAAGACCCGGCCAAACCTTCCAAGCAACAAAAGGTTGGCAACCGTTCGATTCTAACACCTCCATCGAAAGCTTAAGAAGGACGAAGCATATAGAGACAACTATACAAGCTTCATGACAGATATCATAAATGGTGGCTTTGCAGAACAAGTAGAGACCAAGGCGCCGCCTGGAGAAACAAATTACATACCACATCATGGTGTGTATCATCCAATGAAGAAGAAGATGAGAATAGTGTTTGATTGTTCCGCGAAGTACGGCGGCACCTGCCTTAACGATCATCTGCTCAAGGGACCGGACATGATAAACTCATTGGTGGGAGTCCTTTGTCGGTTCAGGAAGCACAATGTAGCAGTGCTATGTGATGTTGAGAAGATGTTCTTTCAGTTTAGGGTCGCTGAGGATGACCGAGACCTCCTGCGCTTCCTGTGGTTCCAAGATAACGACATCAACAAGGAGCCAGTGGATTATCGCATGAACGTCCATCTTTTTGGTGCCGCTTCTTCGCCAGGTTGCGCCAATTATGGCTTAAAGTATCTGGCTAGACATTGCAGCAATGAATTTCCATTGGCATCTCGTTTCGTCGAGCGCAGCTTCTATGTGGATGATGGGCTGGTGAGTGTATCCAGTGAAGAGGAAGCCATTCAGTTGGCCAATGAAGCCAGACAACTTTGCAGCAAGGGTGGCTTACGTCTCCACAAGTTTGTTTCGAATTCTAAGGCAGTTCTGGAGAGTCTGCCAAAGTCTGAGCGTGCCAGTGATGTCACTGACTCAAACTTGGATTTTGAGGATCAAGTAGAGCGTGCTCTGGGGATAGTTTGGAATGTGGCCACGGATGCCTTTTGTTTCAGAATTTCCCTGAAAGAGAAACCAATGACACGGCGGGGAATTCTGTCCATAGTCGCATCCCTTTATGACCCTCTCGGATTTGTGGCTCCGGTCGTTCTCGATGGCAAGAGAATCCTTCAAGAAATGTGTCGTAGCGGGCTTGGGTGGGATGATCCAGTACCCGAGAACCTGCAATCAAGGTGGGAGCAATGGTGTAAGGAAATCCCGCAGCTAGAGGAGCTAAGAATACCTCGGTGTTATCATCCTGCCGAGTTTGGTGATCCTGTAACAGTGCAGCTACACCATTTCTCGGATGCCAGCAAGTCTGGTTATGGCCAATGCTCTTATTTGCATCTTGTTAACCAGAAAGGAGAAGTTCACTGTTGTCTGATCTTCGGCAAATCAAGGGTTGCGCCAACCAAGGTGGTTACAATTCCCAGGTTAGAGTTGACAGCGGCAGTTGTGTCAGCTAAGGCGCACTCTATGTTGAAAGAAGAGCTAGAGTATCATGATGCCGAAGATTTCTTCTGGACAGATTCCCAAGTAGTCCTGGGATACATCCACAATGATGCGCGGAGGTTCCACACGTTTGTTGCTAATCGAGTCCAGCTAATCAGAGATAGGACTTCTCCCGACCAATGGCATTATGTCTCGACTGATCAGAACCCTGCTGACCATGCTTCCAGAGGATTGAGCGTAAGTCAGCTGGGTAGCACAAATTGGTTCCAAGGACCAAGCTTCCTCTGGGAGAAAGACTTTGCAGTAGGAAGTATCTCTCCGACACTCGCCGTTGGGGATCCGGAAGTGAGAGCAACCAACCTATCGACAACTACTCATTCGGAACCGTTGAACCTCCTCTCGCGCCTTACCAGGATCTCTAGTTGGAAGATGATGATCAAGGTATTGGCTCGTCTACGGATGGTAGTGAAGGGAGCAAGACAAGGTTCCTTAGTTCGTGAGAGAAAGGACGCAGAGCTGTTCATTCTGCGGTTAGTTCAACAGGAAGCTTACCCTGAAGAAATCAAGGCTCTGACGTCGGACAAGACCGTTAAAACGACAAGTACCATCCATGACCTTGACCCAATAATCCTTGATGGGATCATGCGAGTGAAGGGCAGACTTGGCGAACTATCGACAGAAGTGGCTCACCCTGTTATCCTGCCCAAGCGTAGCCCTATCACTCGGGCGATTATCCGCCACTTCCATGAGGACATCAAACATCAGGGTCGAGGAATGACGCAGAATCACCTGAGAGCCAATGGATTCTGGATTGTAAACGGATCTAAAGTCGTTGCAGAGGTATTGCGAAAGTGTGTGTCATGCAGACGTCTTCGTAGGCCTCAAGAAGAGCAGAAAATGGCAAACTTGCCAAGAGATCGAGTAGAACCTTCGGCTCCTTTCACGAATGTGGGTATGGATTGTTTCGGTCCTTTCTTTGTAAGGAGAGGTCGTTCTGATATTAAGCGATATGGGCTTATATTCACATGTCTCTGTTCAAGAGGTATCCACATTGAGATGCTCGACGACATGACTACCGACGCATTCATCAATGCTCTCCGCTGTTTCATAGCAATTAGGGGAGCTGTCCGACAGATTAGGTGCGACCAAGGCAGTAACTTCGTAGGAGCAAGAAACGAGCTCCAATCTGCATTGAGAGAGATGACTTCAGACCAAGTGAATACGTACCTTGCAGACCAGCAATGTGAATTTGTCTTCAACGCCCCTCACTCAAGTCACGCAGGTGGCGTGTGGGAAAGACAGATTCGAACCGTCAGAAGTGTCTTAAGGGCTACCATAGACCTGTGTCCAGGAAGACTCACAGACTCCGCTCTTCGTACCTTGTTTTACGAAGCCATGGCAATCGTCAATAGCCGACCGTTAACAGTGACCAATATGAATGACCCAAGTGCGGATGCACCTCTCATGCCAAACCACCTCCTTACTCTGAAGAGGACGGTTCCATTGCCCCCTCCTGGGCAATTTGTGAAGGAGGATGTGTACACGCGTAAAGCCTGGAGAAGGGTTCAGTTCTTACTGGAACAGTTCTGGTCAAGATGGCGGAAAGAGTACTTGTTGGGACTTCAAAGACGACAGAAATGGACGATGCCCAGACGGAATTTACAAGTGGGAGACATTGTATTGCTCACTGACGATGAAGCTCCGCGTATGAAATTGCCAATTGCGATGGTCGCAGAAGCCACTCCTGATGAAGATGGTCTGGTCAGACGGGTACAGGTGCGCGTTGGAACGAAAGACCTTGACAACAAAGGTCGTCCAAACAAGAAGCTTGCCGAATACTGGAGGCCGGTTCAGAAGCTCGTACTGCTTCTGGAAAAGGTACCTCCATAGAGCAGGTATGTATGTACACTTGAGATTGTTTGGAGCGGGTACAAATGTTTGACCTTGCATTTGCACATGTACTTCGTTTTCTGGTACAGTTTAAAAATTTAGGACTCAAATTCTGATCTTGTTTGCTGCGAATTTTAGATACACAGCGCTTAAATATTGTCGCAACCTTTAAACTTGCCTTACAACCTTTGCAGTGTGTGTTATAATCTTTTACAGCACATGTTATAAACGTGCATTGTTTGAGTTCCGCATCATCACTTGTGCCATTCTGGTTTGATCAAGCTATTCAATTGCCATGTTATTCGTGTTGTAGATTGCAAGTGTACCAATTTACATGCAAGAGGTGTATGGAGTGCTTGCTTAAAAATTTCCATATTATGGTCACATTATTTCACATGCACCACTTATGTAATACTAGTAAATGCATTTTCATATATATGTAAGTGTACTCATGCATGTGATTATGTTACCAGTGAAGGCAATTTTGGTGGGAGTGTAAAGGCACTTCATACACCGTGCGGTTGTAATTGTCTATTTGGCATTCCATAATTTTATCGTCTGCGAAGATTGTAATTTTTGGCCCAATACTGGGGCACGTTATGGCGATGGAAAAGGAATTGCATCGTTAATCGGCATATTATTTATGCCTGCCTGAGACTTTGGTAACAAGTGGCACAGTGGTAAGCATAAATAGAACTTTTAGGTTTAATTTCAAGAGAACTCGCTCAGTATGCATACAGCAATCAGTGTTATCCTACTGTAGAACTTCAATAGCTCGTGTATCAGATTGATGCATTGTACGCATAGTGTGCAGGTCTTTGTGTAGTACTATAATTATGAATATTTGTTTGTATGGAAATATACAGAAACTCTTAATCAGTATCGAATTTATTGTGTAATGATAACTCAACTAGATTAAACTCAAACCTCAGTCCTGAGGAAATAAGCACTCAAATACGCCAAAACTTGATATAAGATGGTTGACATTACATTTATTGCTCACATAACATTTTTGCAATTACATTGTCTATTTAAGCTGTTTTCGACACCCATTGTATACAGTTAAATACGTTTACAAATATTCCTTATTTGTAGGATATCAGTTTAGAGTTTATTTCTAATTTTCACAACACTTAGTGTATTAAATACTGGACAGTATTGCTATTATGATAATTTAAGTCCAATTACTTTAAATTGAAGTTAATTGTTATTCACCTTAGTATAATGTTTAGACTCATAATACAGTGGAACCTTATTATTAAAGGCACTGATGTGGCAGACTTTACCTATAACAATGTATCTTCTCTCGTCCCAAGTGCCTCGTTATAATGCAGTTGCACTGTAACATGCTTTGATATGATGATATACTTATGTTGGATTTTGTTCATTTGTTTGTTTGTTTATAGTTTTTACGGGAATCTAAGGAACAAAGTGAATCAGCAAGCCAAAGAGTCAGCTTTGACCATGATGAAGAGACTAGATTCAATAAAGCTGTTTTGACTATTGTTTACCCAGTATGAGAACACGTGCGAGCTTTCGTTTGTTTGTCGTCGTAGTCCGGGCAGGCACAATATGGCTTTTCTCCTGTATGTGTTCGGAGATGACGTTTAAGATTATTTTTCAGAGAAAATCCTTTCTTACAATAGCAACATTCATATGGCTTTTCTCCTGTTTGTGTTAGAAGGTGTCGGTGAGACTTATTTTCTGAGAATACCCTTTATTGCAGTGTGAACATTCATATGGCTTTTCTCCTGTGTGTGTTAGGTGTTGGGTGATACTTCTTTTCTCAGAAAACCCTTTCTTACAGTTTGAACATTCATATGGCTTTTCTCCTCTGTGTGTTCGGAGATGACGTTTAAGAGTACTTTTCAGAGAAAACCTTTTCGTGCAGTGTGAACATTCATATGGCTTTTCTCCTGTGTGTGTTTGTAGGTGTCAGGTAAGAGTACTTTTCAGAGAAAACATTTTCTTGCAGTGTGAACATTCATATGGCTTTTCTCCTGTGTGTGTTAGGAGGTGTTGGGTGATACTTCTTTTCAGAGAAAACCCTTTCTTACAGTTTGAACATTCATATGGCTTTTCTCCTGTGTGTGTTCGGAGATGACGTTTAAGAGTACTTTTCAGAGAAAACCTTTTCGTGCAGTGTGAACATTCATATGGCTTTTCTCCAGTGTGTGTTAGGAGGTGTTGGGTGAGATTGCTTTTCTTAGAAAACCTTTTCTTGCAGTATGAACATTCATATGGCTTTTCTCCTCTGTGTGTTAGGAGGTGTTGGGTGAGACTTATTTTCTCAGAAAACCCTTTCTTACAGTTTGAACATTCATATGGCTTTTCTCCTCTGTGTGTTAGGAGGTGTTGGGTGATACTTCTTTTCTGAGAAAACCCTTTCTTACAGTTTGAACATTCATATGGCTTTTCTCCTGTGTGTGTTCGGAGATGACGTTTAAGAGTACTTTTCAGAGAAAACCTTTTCGTGCAGTGTGAACATTCATATGGCTTTTCTCCAGTGTGTGTTAGGAGGTGTTGGGTGAGATTGCTTTTCTTAGAAAACCTTTTCTTGCAATATGAACATTCATATGGCTTTTCTCCTGTGTGTGTTAGGAGGTGTTGGGCGAGACTTATTTTCTCAGAAAACCCTTTCTTACAGTTTGAACATTCATATGGCTTTTCTCCTGTGTGTGTTAGGAGGTGTTGGGTGAGACTTCTTTTCTCAGAAAACCCTTTATTACAGTGCGAACATTCATGGGGCTTTTCTCCTGTATGTGATAGTTTATGACGATTGAGTACACTTTTCTGTGAAAATCCTTTCTTACAATAGCAACATTCATATGGCTTTTCTCCTGTATGTATTAGTATATGTTGATTGAGTACACTTTTCTGAGAGAATCCTTTCTTACAATAGCAACATTCATATGGCTTTACTCCTGTGTGTGTTCGGAGATGAAGATTGAGTTCATTTTTTTGTGAAAATCCTTTCTTACAATAGCAACATTCATATGGCTTTTCTCCTGTATGTATTAGTTTATGACGATTGAGTACACTTTTCTGAGAGAATCCTTTCTTACAATAGCAACATTCATATGGCTTTTCTCCTGTATGTGTTAGTATATGACGATTGAGATCATATTTCCGTAAAAATCCTTTCTTACAATAGCAACATTCATATGGCTTTTCTCCTGCATGTGTTAGTAGATGACAATTGAGGAGGCTTTTCCGAGAGAATCCTTTCTTACAGTAAGAACATTCATGTGGCTTTTCTCCTGTATGTATTAGTATATGTTGATTGAGTGCACTTTTCCGTGAAAATCCTCTCTTACAATAGCAACATATATACGGCTTTTCTCCTGTGTGTGTTAGGAGGTGCTGGGTGAGACTTCTTTTCTCAGAAAATCCTTTCTTACAGTGTGAACATTCATATGGCTTTTCTCCTGTGTGTGTTAGGAGGTGCTGGGCGAGATGGCTTTTCCGAGTAAACCTTCTATTACAGTGTGAACATTCATATGGCTTTTCTCCTGTATGTGTTCTGAGATGACATTTAAGATTATTTTTCTTAGAAAATCTTTTCTTACAATAGCAACATTCATATGGCTTTTCTCCTCTGTGTGCTAGTAGATGACAATTGAGTACGCTCTTCTGAGAAAATCTTTTTTCACAATAGCAACATTCATATGGCTTTTCTCCTGTGTGTGTTAGGAGGTGTTGGTTGAGATTTCCTTTGTTAGAAAACCTTTTCTTGCAGTGTGAACATTCATACGGCTTTTCTCCTGTGTGTGTTAGTATATGACGATTGAGTGCACTTTTCTTAGGAAACCCTTTCTTACAATAGCAACACTCATATGGCATTTCTCCTGTATGTGTTAGGAGGTGCTGGGTGAGATAGCTTTTCTGAGAAAACCCTTTATTACAGTGTGAACATTCATATGGCTTTTCTCCTGTATGTGTTCTGAGATGACATTTAAGATTATTTTTCTTAGAAAATCTTTTCTTACAATAGCAACATTCATATGGCTTTTCTCCTGTATGTGCTAGTATATGACAATTGAGTGTACTTTTCCGAGAAAATCCTTTCTTACAATAGCAACATTCATATGGCTTTTCTCCTGTATGTGTTAGTATATGACGATTGAGATCATTTTTCCGTAAAAATCCTTTCTTACAATAGCAACATTCATATGGCTTTTCTCCTGCATGTGATTTCAAGTGGAGAAGGGGGTGACTGGCCTGACATGATCTCTTACTGCAACATGGACATTGATGTAGCTTTTCTCCAAAATGTATCCTCAGATGAATGTCGAGTTGATCTTTTGTGGAAAACACCTTGCCGCAATGTGAGCAAAGATGAGATTTACCTCCACTGTTGATTGACTCTCCACGTTCTACCGTCTCTTGTTCGTTGTTAACAATATCACCTGGTGGCGAGAAAGAGAAAGCTCATGTCATCGACACCACAGATATAGTGTTAGAAATTACATGAGTGTCCTGTCACTTCAAATTGAGAAAGAAGTTTTTGGATTATTTTCTGAACTTGAGAAAGATGAATATGCCAAAATGGGTTCAAGCATGTAGGCCGTCTAATTGGTCAAATGACACCACATGACCATGCATCTTTGTTTCCAATCATGCCTACCATGCAATAAAAGTTCCCATCAAATTCTTGGACTACCATCTGGTTCCATCTACTTTTTAAATAATTATATTAGGGACATATCACATACATGTAATTGCCTACTAAGATTTCATAATAATACACAATATTTCAGAGGTGTTTTTTATTTTATTTGTAGTGGTCACCCCTAAATCGGTTACGGTAAGTGGATGCAAAATAGACAAAAGACAAATGGTGATTGGCAAGATGCACTTTTTTGTCTTATTACTTGTTTGGAAAGAGTGGGCTAACGGACATGCTACAAGCTTAGCTATAAAGATGCCTGAAGTCTGACAATGAATGAGTTAAAATCTGCATGAACTGAATTATATCAAAGGAAGCAGATTACAGTGATAGGTCCTGATCCAGGGTTGGCATATTTCCCGCTTCGGAGGCTTATTTCCCGGATGCTGGGAAATAAGCGGTATTTACCGCTTTTTACCGGGAAATATATTTTTTCACTCACTTGTTCATAGGGATTGTTCAATTTTGAACATAATAACAATCTTGGTGAGTATGGTTGCTCTGGTATGCACTATTTGTGTGTGTGTGTGTTTGTCCGTTATTATGAAATGCTGGAAAAAATACAGCAAAAAGATCCCAAATATACACCTAATCTAGATATGATGTTCTTCATTAAAGATATTTTATTGAATGAAAAGAAGTGTGAAATCATGGTTATTACATCAAATTGTTAACGAAGGTCATTTGATAAAATCAATATCCAGATAAACGGAATCCCTCTAAAAACTGTTAAGACAATGAAGTATCTAGGAGTTATTTTAAAGAAGAAAATGAATTGGCAAGATCAAGTCACACACGTAAAGAAAAAAAACGTTATCCAGTATATATTGTTCAAAACGTGCGAGACCATATATTTCGCAAGATACAGTCGTAATATTATATAAAACCCTTGTGCAACCTCATTTTGATTATTGTTTGGCATTATTATAACTTTATGCTTGTTATTTTATTTGATGCAATAGTTTGTTATTTAATTTTTGTATTTAATGCATGTATGTCATCTTTAAGTAGTTTTCCTATGTATTTACTGATGTGTAATTGAGATCTGTTTTATGCTTTTTACACGAACTTGCTGAAAAGCAGTCTTTTTAGACTGATGTGAGTTTACCGTGAATAAATCAATTCAATTCAATTCAATGTCCCTTTTGCAGCCAACATCAAATTCTGTACAACTTTGCAGGAATAACGAATATGTCATGTATGTCCTATCTGTGAAATTTAAACGTTAGCTGTGTCCTAATATTCAAATTATGCAAGGAAACCCTTTTACTTGCTAGAATTCAATGTCAAACACTATTGAGTGACTGACTGCCTTTTTTTCTTCTTTGATAATTAACATCAATAAAATGAGCTGTAAAGGTCTAAGGGTACATGAGCATTTGTCTACATCAATAACCCACTTCTTGAAAGGGCCAAAATTAAACTGATTGAATCTTTGCACAGCATAAAACGTACGACCATTCGGTACAATCACTTACTGGCTCTATAGCTCTTAAGTCGATTCGACAACTAATAGTTGTTATTTTCCCACTTAAAGACATTTCAAGCCCCCCTTTTTTTAGGGAAGTTCTAATTTAGTATAATCTTTCAAATGCCGTTGTAATTTAACCTTTTCATTTTTTGGGACTGCAAACTGGACATAGTATCTTTAATTCAGTTGTTAATTACCATATTCATGAATACCTATTATTTAGCATATGAACAAAATGCCATGTGCTTCAAAAACCATGTGCAATATTTTCGGTTGTTGAGGCTAAAAACAAGTAAAATTATTAATAAATAGAGAATTAAAAATCATATTTCCTGTTTTTTACAAATTTACCAGACGCGCATCTTATTTACTGGATGGTATTTACCAGTATTTACCGCCGGTAAGACCTAAAATAAAACCTTGTTGTATTGCCCCCTGCGACAAACCCAAAAATCTGAAAATCTACGGTCGGCATTTTAAAAAAGTTTATTTTTTAAACCGTTTTATAGATTTTTTAACAATTATTGAATAAAATAACATGTATTTTGTTTGTTTAAATGGGATATAAATGCATAAAATCAAATTATTCCAAAATTCTCACTCGTGCAAACCATGGATAATTATGAGATGAATAAGATTAAATGTATTAAAGCACTAAAATAAATGAGAAATATCAGCCAAAAGAGGGCGGGGAAAAAAGAAGAAAAAACAACAATAACATTCAAATCTGAAAAATATAGGCCCAAACGGAAGGTGACAAAAAAAAAAAGTTAAAAAAAAAAAAAAGCTTTTTCGACCGACTGACCGACCGACCCATGTTTTGGCAACCAAAGGCCAATACAACAAGTTTTTATTTGAGGCCTAATTACCGCCACCGGTATTTATCGCCCAACCCTGGCCTGATCAGACCTCATTGCTAAAGATAATGATAACCACTGCAATAAATTGCTCCCAAATCGTTCTGTTATGAAAGTGGAAAATGTATTTGAACTTTGTTGCAGATGTAAGTCAGACATTGATGTATATGCTAATGAGCCTGCCTCGACTATTTTATCTTGCTATTGGGATTGCTCGGCCAATGATTCTTTTTGAAGCAAGCAGAAACGATAACATCTGTAACCTAATAATTGCACTTCTTTGAAGTGATGCAGTGACAACAGTGTTTGACTGACACAACTAACAATTCTTTTCTGTGAAAATTGGGGAGGTCTTACCACTAAATACATCTTGCAATATGCACATGCTTTATCGTTTATTCGTTATCGGTATGGTCTGACCAGGCCTTTAAAAACCTCATTGTACTATAGATTAAACCTACCTTCTGATGTAGGTTGTTCAGATTCCTCGTCTCCATCAGTACTTGACACAGGATTATGGGTTGTACTATCCACTTCATGATTGATTCTACCTGAAATAAATCATTAGTGTCGGATTATTTAAAATCAGTCTTTCTTTATTAAATGTTAGTGCAGTCCTTCAAGTTCGATCTGTACATGTACAAGGAGATTACAGCAAACAAAACACATTCATTGGTCCATTTCTACACTTACAAATACAGCTGTCACACCCTCAATGGAAAATATTTAGTAAGTTTAAAATTGCTGTTAAGGCGATTTATTAGGTATCTTTAGTATTCTGCATTCGGATGATCTGCGATGCACAATCACTTTTGTGTTTAATAGCTGATAATGTAGATACTGTATACCACTTAAATGTCAAGGGACTAGAGACTGCTAGAAGATTTGTGTTGGAAAACTAGACAAGTGAATATGAATTATTCACATTGACTGTATCTTGATACATATCATCAGGTAAATTCCCATCATTTTTAGCATCACTTGACAGAATGCTTCAAGATAGCCCAAGGGGCCTTGCATGGTCATGTCCTACAAATGACGGACATTTGGTATTGTGGTTTGTAGATTTGAAGTACCTTGCGCACTAGGTAATGCGGAGCCATTTATCACGTGAGCCGCAAAGCCACGCCCTCGCCATGATTCAGGCTACTTCATGCATCATGCATTTTGCAGCGTTTTACACGATCCCACATCTTCACCTCAGCTATTCATATTGTACGAAGGCGCGGCATGAATTTGTGAAACATTCATAGCGCTGTGTCCATTGACGTGGGGGCAAGCTAGCTGAGCGTGGCGTGACATGCATAGACGAACTTGGTATCTAGTATTTGTCACTGTACTGATCATTGAGCGATCACGAGTGCAAGATTTGTTGGCAAAAGTTCGAGTTCAGAGACGCCTACAACGTGTTTGTTCAATTTTAAATTATGACAGATTGTTTTTAAGTGTGTGTGTACGTATTTTTGGAGTTCTGTTTTAAGCCTCTTTTCATGAACATGATTATGTATGTCTTTATCAAAACGATTACCGTAAACGAAACCACCCATATCAAGTTAACAGTTAAACGTTTAACAAAAGAAACCTTAATGACTCAGGCATACTTTGTACACAGGTTTTACTGAAATATCAATTCAAGTAATACCTTCTAGACTTGATGGAACACCTTCCTCTTCACTTTCTTCTGTAAATTCTTGCTTGATGTTGGTTTTGAGGGCTAACTGATTAATTTCCTCTCCAACGGTTGAAAAGGCCTCTGGTTCTTCCTTGATGAGAACTTCTATGACTGACGGAATGAATTCATTCATGAGTGACAGGTAATGAACGGCATTGCTATCAACCTCTTGCTTGATGAGAACTCCTTCAACAAATTGAATAGTTTCTGTTGAGCTCCTATTTGGAGTTGGCAATGTATGTAAGGTCCAACTCTCTGCTTTTTGCATGTGTTCTGGGACTGATGGGGCAGTTTCATCTACACTCTGTTCAGTATGTCGCAAAGATTTGGAGGTCTTACTTTCCATTTCTTGCTTGTTAGTATGTCCTAGGGTTGTTTCTATGCACATATCTATAGAATGCAGTGAACTCAAGGTCCTACTCTGAACTTCTTGCTTGACATTATCTTCTGGGACTGACTGAACACCTTCTGCTGCAATCTGATCCATTGTTCTGAGAGGATTTGATGCCCCTCTGGGCCCTCTCTCTGCTACTTGCTTGATCATATCTTCTGGGACTGACTGAACACCTGCTGCGCTCCTATCCGTTGTTCTGAGAGGATTTAATACCCCTCTCTCTGCTACTTGCTTGATCATATCTTCTGGGACTGACTGAAAACCTTCTGCTGCACTCCTATCCATTGTTCTGAGAGGATTTAATGCCCCTCTCTCTGCTACTTGCTTGATCATATCTTCTGGGACTAAATGGACACTTTCTGCTACACTTCTATATGTGGTTTGGTGATGATCAAGTGTCCCTCTCTTCATTTCTTGCTTGACTTCTGGGAATGACTGAACAGTCTCTGCTGCTCTCAGATCTGCAGGCTGCACTTCAAAGTCCTCACATCTACTTCTTGCTTTAAGCCTACATTCCCTAAAAATAGTGAGAAAACAAAGGTGTTTTACAGCATATATATTCTTGCAAATGGAGATAATTAAGCAATGCTTTCTTGTGAAAAATCAATCATACTCTGAGCACTACCAATATATTGAAAATGTATAGTAGTAGAACGTAGTGGAAGAAGTAGTAGAAGTAGTAGTAGTAGTAGTAAAAGTAGTAGAAGTAGTAGTAGAAGTAGAAGTAGTAGTAGTAGTAGTAGAAGAAGTAGAAGTAGTAGTAGTAGTAGTAAAAGTAGTAGTAGTACAATTAGTAATAGTAGTAGTAGTAGTAGAAGTAGTAGTAAAAGTAGTAGTAGTACCAGGGAGGTGTTTTAGATGGAGAATCCGTCTCGAAAGAATTTCCCGAGGGAAAGATATTCAAGATTAACTTGGCTTAACAACAAGTAATGCAACCCTCTTCAGCCATCAAATCCATCAACAGCCGCCCGTATCAGACCACAGATGCCCTCTGGCGATCCAAATGTTACGAAGTGTTACGCAACGCCGTCTGCTTCCCTAAGCTCTCCAAACACTTGGTCGTAAAAAAAAGGCTTTGAAGCCATGCGAATCACCGAAAAAATGATGTCATATTTATTGAAGATGTATATAGCTATAACATATAAAATACAGAATCGACAACGTATGGCACGATGCAACCTTCTATTGGTTATCAAATGCTTTCGCTGTGCTCGGATAACTCTACTGAAGACTTAGCCATCTGAACCAGCGAATTCGACCAAGGAAATCGTGAGTTAGAGTGAATGCAAGTTTCTCATCATCATCGCGTTCTCTTCTAATTATTGACATTTTCCGAAAGTTTCCGAAATTTTTACATAGCTAGGAAGGTAGTCCATAAGTTTATATCTTAAAATAACTAAATGAAATTGTGTTATATATTTGCGCATTTGGTTTAATGAGGGTTAGAAGTTGTCAATTCATCACCACTTTTCACCCCGAGTACGGGCCGGCGACGCTAAAGCCGCCGTGCTCGCTGGGCTGTACATGCTGGATGTTGTTGGTGGAAACACACATAGCTGCAGCTGCATTACTAACCTGGCCGTGTATTAAAAGTTGTGCTATTGATTCTCAACATTTCAAACACCACTGTACAAAACTCAACTGATTTCATTCAAAGGCAGTACTTTAGTGAAAATTGATGACACCTAAAGAGCATTAAAATACAATTTGTTCAACTTTCCGATGTTAGAAAGAATAATTTAAAAATTGAAATTGTGAGTATACTGTCAAACTTGCCGATCAACCGCATCGGAATGAATATGTGCATTTGTATGTTGTGAGTGTATTGACTATTCATGTATTCAAATGCTGCCTATTTACATGTACTGCAGTGCTAGTAGTCAATACGCATTAGTATCAACTATCTATGCTTTGCTGGAGTGGCCTACACATATCGCATTCACGATGAAACCGTACATTCTGGTTCGCTGCAACGAATAAGATTTTCCGTTGATGTAATTTCATACGTGCATAACTTGTATTGGTCTCTAAATTCCCATACACCAGGCTCAAGAATCAAATCTTCCTCAAAATCAGTCAGAAAGTCTAAATCGTCGCCTACCAAAATACTCTTCCCTACTGTACGCCGCTATTTTTGTTGGTCAGGTAGCAGCCGATGTGTATTTCCAACAATGCATTTCGCAAGCCCTATGTCACTCAGTTTCGGGAGTGAGATTTACGAGCTGTGCGGTCCGGGTGGGGGATTGAGGGGATTATGATAGGGGGAAAAAAGACTCTCGGTGCAGCGGAGTGCTTCAAAGGGCCCTCTTATAGGTGCGGAATCCATTTAACTCACATACCCTGGTAGTAAAATTAGTAGTAGTTAGTAGTAGTAGTAGTAGTAGTAGTAGTGTTTTACCAGGGACATACACAGGTACACACAAAAAAAAAAAAAAAAAGTTTAAATTTATGCCCCTCCACCTAGCGCAATGCCTGGCAATGTCTCCCAGCTCAGTAATCTGTGTGTTGACTTACCACTTGGAAACTAGAACAACACTTAAATTTTCATCTTGGTTGAAAGTAATTTTTCTAATAGATCTCAATATGTAGTTTATAAGTTCCTCCAATTTTTCTTCTATTCATATTCATATTTATATTTATTTCATTTCCAACAGAAAGGTAAACAAAGATATTACTTTCTTTTTTTTCATACATAATTCATTTTTTCAGGAAACTATACAAATAAAGTTTGCACATAATAAAATTATTACAAGAAATTCTTAATTTCTAAGGAAATGGGGGGGGGGGGGCGGTCCACTAAAAAGCAGAGCTTGTAGTTTGTGGATCCCCCAGAAAAAAAATATAATTGTTTCAAATTTTCAAGACTTAGAAAGCACAAGACAATATTACAACACAACAGACAACCACGAAAAGAACAAGGAGAAATAAAACAAATAACAAGGAAAAGGGAAAGGGGGAAGAAGAAAGAAAGAAGCAGGGCAAATCATGACCGGAAAAAAGGTAGTTATAATGTTAATTTTGGGAAGGTAAGATCATAAGACCAAATAAATATTAAAATTAATCGAGCAGATGATGAAGACCTAAATGAAATATTAAGATAATTACCAACTGTTATCAGATTATCACAGTAAGTAATACGCTAATACTCCGCGGGGGGCATGACGTCTCCGCGAGCCTTTGTATTCTATTGTTTTTTTAATGAGATCGCCGACCGAAGTTGGTGCAGCTATCTCCTCCTGAGCCCTCCCCTCGGGGTACCGGTGCCATCGTCCGCGGGAGAGTCTACTCTGTGGAATTGGCTATACTTCGCCCGAGGTCTTTCTCCGTGTCGACGTCCAGGGCGAAAACAGACGCGATATGCATAATGCATGATATGCGTGACGACAGAGATACCTCATGCATATTCAACATTACATCCGTATCAAAGAGACACACAACCGATGACCATCAACTCAGATTATGTTGCGTATCAAAGGGTCAAGATTACCCAGAGTAAAGCATCTTCCTATAAGATGTGCTTTGTAGTAGCTGCACAAGCCAGAGAGATACATGGGGCTTCCCGTCGACGTCCAAACTTAGAGACCCATTTCCATCATGATTGCAGCGATTTTTATATAGTTTTCGTGAATGGAGGTATGAAATCAAAGCTTATTTTGTGATTAATTCGGCCATGTTTACTGAATTTTGATTATCATTTTCATTGGACTGACAGTTCAGTCGCAGGCTGCCTTCAGTCAACACACATACAGTACACACAGTGTTGCTGCTGCGCTGCTGTCGGACTTTGGATGAGTGAGCTAGAGTCGAAGAGTATGGGGGGCCAAGCAGGCCAATATTCGTACAACTATACAACTACACATACGTCTATCCATCCATAGAAGAACCCGTCAACACGACAGCATGCGGGCCGAAGTGCCATAATTTTGTACAACTATACAGCTATAAAACTATACGACTCTACGTCTACTCAGCCAAAGGAGACTAATATTGTCTTATATCTACAGTAAATTACCAGAAAGCATTACATAAGGTTATGAATTGTACATTTACATATTAATAATTCAATATCAACCAGACAGAAGTATGTGACTTCATGCATTGCAAAACAGTCAGTTGCGTAATGAGTAAATTTTTTTTTTTTTTTTTTTTTTTGGGGGGGGGGGTGCAGAAAAAAAAATACATCACCATGCACCATTCCTACATGTTACATGCAGGCTGCAAAAAACGTGGGGGGGGGGGGGGGGGAGAGATCAGTTAGATCGCAGCGGGTTGAGTGTATATAGACGTGGGGTCCACAGGTTTCAAGGGGCCATAAACCCCCGAAAGCTCAGGGGTTATAGGTATTTAATTAGGGTCAGATGAGCATATTTTTAATTATAATACTTTATTTGTGACACTGGCAGTTCACTAATTGGTGTGGGGTCCATACGTAGATTTGCGTAGTGTTGCGTACCAGCTATGCTGGCCTATGTTACTATATGCTGAGCGACGCAAAGGGGTATGCAAGATGGACGCAAACAATTCAACATGTTTAATTTTTTTCGCGTACTTTCGGCTTAGAAACTTGACACAGAAAGTACGCCTTTTTACGCAACACTACGCTACTGTACGCCATGCCTACGCAACAGTGCGCTACCCTACGCCAGATCGACAAAGCAGTAAAAGCTTTCCACACAGTAAGCAACCATAAGCAAACCTGTACACCAGCCTACGCATTACCTACGCAGGGACTACAGTGAAGCAACATTTTTCCATTAATACGCAGGCTAATTTATGCGTAGTCGGTATGCCACACTACGCAACTCTACGCAGTTCCAGTGTGAAAGAGGCTCAAAGAATAACTAACGGTAGAGTTGGGTTTTTTATGAATGGCAAATAAAGTTCTTGGTGGTTTTAATTTAGAGAGTTTCTATATATCTATTTATACCCCTTGCCCCCCTCTAGAATCCCGCAGATTTCCGCGGGTCCTGCTAGTTCTTGTATATTACTATAAGATTTGAGCAAAAATGTTTTTAGATTTTTCTTGAAAGAATTTAGGGATGGACTTTTTTTAATACCTTCACTTAGAGAATTCCAAAATCTAGGACCATCATACATAAAAGACTTCTTCGCTAATAAAGTTCTAAAGAAAGGTAGGTGACCGTCTAGTTGGGTAATCATGAAATGACCAATTTAGGGGGAACATGGCATCAAATATATGTGGAAGGGTCTTTTTTTGAATACTTATACATAAATTGTCCTAAGTAAAGTAGATACAGGTCATTTGTTTTGAATAGTCTACCATTAACAAATAACAGGTCTGTGTGTGAGAGTGCAGCAGAATGGTAAATAATACGGAGAGACTTCTTTTGTAATAATAACAGTCTATTACTCTATTTAGAAGAGCTTGCTTGTGTGTTGCCCCAAGCAAGTATCCCATAATTCAGATATGGTAAAATTAAAGATGAATAAAGCATGAGTAGGGATGATGTCGGAAATGAAATTTAAGTTTGTTTATTATGCCAATATTCCGTGAAATGATCTTACATGTATTATCTATATGGTATTTCCACGAAAGTTTGTTATCAACAGTTATGCCTAAAAATTTAATGAATGAAACAACTTCCAAGGGGGTATCGTCAAAAATGATATTCTTGGGCAGTGTGTCAATAGAATTACTAAATAACATATATTTGTTTTTTGGGAGGTTAAGGGATAGTTTGTTTGCTTTTATCCATTGGGTGACTTTTACAAGTTCAGAATTTACAACATTGACTAGAGATTTTGGATTTCTATGGGAATAAAATAAATTAGAATCGTCTGCAAAAAGTATAAATGAAAGGACATCGGATGATTTACAACAGTCATTTATATAAATAATAAACAATAAAGGGCCCAACAAACTTCCCTGCGGTACTCCACAATTTATGTTTTGCATATTGGAAGTATGATCATTCAAGAATACATATTGTCTTCTATTGGATAAGTAACTCATGAACCACTTCAAGGCCTTCCCACGCACCCCATAATGAAGAAGTTTGAATAATAAGATGTCATGATTGATGGTGTCGAAGGCCTTGGAGGAGTCCAGGAAGATACCAACCAGGTGAGAGCAATTGTCTAAAGCACGCGCTACTTTGTCAATAAAGTTTAGGCATGTTCTGTATTTATTTTTCTCTAAATCCAAACTGAAAGTTGGAAAAAATACTATGAGTTTTTAAAAAGTAAACAGTTCTACGATAAACAACTTTTTCTAGAATTTTCTACAAGGAGGATAAAAAAGAGATTGGTCGATAATTACTGACATTCAAATTATCACCTTTTTTGTATAGGGGTATGACTTTTGCGATTTTCATATTATCTGGGACTTGTCCATTAATTAACTATAGATGAAGAATGTGTACTAAAGGATTTACAATTGAAGATATTACACCTTTTAGAATAAAATTATTAATATCATCATAGCCGGGACTCTTTTTGTTATTCAAATTAGATACAATATCAATGATATCTTCTTTAACTATAGGAGTGAGAAAAATAGTATTGGGTTGGGTGTGCCTAGGTAATCAGAGAAATGTTTGGCTGAAGGAGGAATACCTTCAGCCAATTTTGTCCCTATAGAGGAAAAAAAGTTGTTGAAAGTATTAGCTATGTTTTCAGGATCTTCGACAATATCATCATTATACCTAATTTTGTTAAATGGATAAATTCATTGCTTGTTTTAAAATCTTCCATGTGTTTTGAATATCATTCTTATATAAAGTTAACTGGTTCGTAAAGTAATTTTGTTTCGCTAATCGTATTGTTTTAGTTAAAATATTTTTATAACTGGTGTATCTAGCTTTTGCCTGTTCAGTACCTTTTATTTTACATTTATAGTACAAGTTATTTTTTCTGTTAATTGAACGTAAAAGTGATTTAGAAATCCATGGAAGTCTCAGTGATTTTTTGTAGGTAGTTCCTTTGTCTTGTCAGCGTACCACAAGGTTCTATCCTAGGTCCTCTACTGTTATTAATTTACATTAATGATCTTACACATTCTTCTAATTCTAAAAACGACATTGTTACTATTATTTGTGACAAGTTTGCTAGCACAAATCGGCGCCTTCAACTGCACCTCGCAGTTAAAAGAAAGTCCTTTCCCGCGGACTTGGCTTGACGGCGAGTCGGCAATTTTGTATTTTTTAAATTTTTTTTCTTGGCCCAAAAAAATAGGGGTGCATCTTATACACAGAGATTTACGGTAGTAGTGGTAGTAATAGTGGTAGTAGTAGTAGTAGTAGTGTTTTACACGGCATTAAAGCGAATACATAAGGAATCAGAAAAAGACACTAAACATGTAAAGATGAAAATAATGCAACCACTGGAATGCCAGGGACAGATTAAGTTATCCTACATAGTTATGTAACAACTGTGGCATAAAGCCTTCTGTCCCAGTTTCAGTGGATGTTAACATAAAATGATGATTAAGTACATAAAATACACAACATACATAAAGTTGGATGTCCTGACTTATTACAAGAACATGAAATATACAACCCTAATATCACATCATCCACAATTCCACATACTGTAGGTTGGATTCGAACCCAAAAACCTAGGTTTAAATGGATAGTTGAGTTCTGTTTTCAGACCGCAAATGCTTTCAAAGTGCATGATTATTACCAGTATTGCTTTTAATCTTATCTACGACATTTCTGGTGCCTTTTTAGAACCTAAAATTGCAATGAAGGTAATTTTAGACCACAAAATGTGTAAAATCTAGCCAATACGCTCATACCAATTACCTTACCTTACTAAACAAGCGCGAGTTAGATCTAGTAGTAGACCTACGGGTCAAATTTTGGATACGTTTCTGAACAAGCGTCGATTTTGGTATTGGCCTTCCTACTCATGATCTTTATGTGGACATTTAATTAAACTTCATTTTTCATGTTTTTGGTAGGTTTTAGTAGGGTAGCTCCACGCCGGAGTTACGGGTCAAATTATGGATAAGTTTCTGAACAAGCGCCTAACTCGCGCTTGTTTAGTAAGGTATCCAAACTATGACCTGTAACTCTGGCGTGGAGATACCCTACTAAAACATACCCAAAATGAAGTAAATATTCATTAAATGTCCAAATAAAGATCAGGAGTTAAAAGTTGTTATGTTTATTACCTGTTTCGTGTCAATTTTCTTGTTATTTTGGGGAAAACGATGATATCCAGACGCGTAGCCAGGGGGGGGGGGCGAAAGAGAAGGAAAAAAGTAAGAGGACGTAGGAAGAAAAAGGGTAAAGGAGTCGATAACGGTACAGCGGATCGTCTTCTTTCTTTAATAATTTAGTAAAACGTCAAAGCTACCGCGCTTCGCGCGGAAAGGGTGAAATTGAGTTCAAATTAAGGAGAACGGAAAAACGAATCGTCTTCTTTCTCTAATAATTTAATGAAACGTCAAAGCTTCCGCGCTTCGAAAGAGAGGGACTGAATACAGATAAGGATTAAGGGTCGGGAAAGGTACAACGAATCGTCTTCTTTTACTAAAAATACGTCAAAGCTTCCGCGCTATGCGCAGGAGGGCCGGACTGAATTCAGACAAGGATTATGAGTCGAGAAAGGTACAACGAATCGTCTTCTTTCAAAGCTTCCCCTCCCTGCACCCACCCCCCTAGGAAGCGCGCTACGCTCGCTCTTTAAGTAAAAATGAAATCCTGGCTACGCGCTTGTTAGTATACACTTTTTCACAGGTTTCACAGCAAACCGCTGTACAATTACAAGTGCATACTGCACGATGGTGGGTTGCGGGCGGGCGCGCGCCCACTCCAACTCCAGGAAGCTCAGACGCCTTCAACATCGGCGCGTCGGAGCTTCCTGGAGTTAGATCCACTCCAGCAAAGCATCAGAGTCATTGCTAACTCCAGGGAGCTCCGACGCGACGCCGAGTTACACAGAATCTATGTCTACTTACGTTCGTTCTTGGGCTTAATATGGAGGTTGCCATCAAATTCTTTAAGAAATTAATTTGGGAACATTTGAATGCGATCTCCTCTCAGGTTGTTCACGGATCCGAGATAATTTAACTCGGTATTATTCAGTATTTATCGTTCCTTGAAAACTGGCGACCATTGAGCCAACGACCAATAAGAGGAGGATAACCATCAATAATGGGTCCTATAGTGTCTCTAAATCGTACAATCAAAAAGGAAAAGGAGAATTTTGCACGTCTAGGCTGTCGGTATAACAACAATAGGAAATCTAATCTCTTACTAGTAAGAGATAATTAAGATTTGGATGTTTTTAAAACTATCTCATGACATTTTAACTAAATGAAACGAAATCGCATAGGGTGAAATATTTAAAAAACCATGGAGCAAAGCGACAGAGCGACCAAGCGGGGGTATGTCTTTGCATTTGCAATTTTAGAACCACGTTATAGGCGTATTTTCAGGCACTTCCTTGTGAAATATGACGTAAAATTGATTTCCTCTACCCCCTCCAAGAGTAGGGATCTTTTGCAATTTGAGAACCACATTAATTTGGCGCATTAATGTCCACCGGCACTTCCTGGAAAAAAGCGAGACTTTCTCATTGGTTAGAAGCCTTAGAGAAAAGTGATCTGTCACGTCGCGAGACGTTGTATATGCTTTGTTGCTGCACATTATTCACAAAGACGGTGGTTAGGTACTTCACCATGGCCTACTTGCAAAAATTATCTCGAGTTTTTAAACCGTGTTGCAGTTGGGTGTGATGGTCTGAATATTCATTAATGTTCAGATTTGTGAGGTCGCAGTGCGAGAAATTACATCTCACAAAGAGGGGGGAAATCCCAACCATGATGGGGTTTATAAGCGCATTCTCATAACGAAAGACTGAAAAGAGCAAACAATTTTGTGTGTGTGTCTTAAAATTTGAACATTTGGCCGATAGATATTTCGTTTCGTTGGGGGGGGGGGGGGGGTAAGGTCAGCTTATTGGGTCACCCAAAACAAACACATAAAACAAGCCCATCTATCTCCCTAACCCGCCCCTCTCTCTCTCTCCCTAACCCATCCTCTCCCCCTCTCTCTTTCCCTAACCCACCCTTATCCACCCTCTCTCCTCCCCTAACCCACCTCTCTCTCCCTAACCCACCCCGCTCTCTCTCTTTCCCTAACCCACCCTCTCCCTCTCTATCTCTTATCCACCCTCTCCCCCTAACCCACCCCTCTCTGTCTCCCAAACCAACTCCTATCTCTCTGTCTCTTTCCCTAACCCACCTCTCTCTCCCTCTGTCTCTCCGTCTGTCTCTCTCTCCCTTACCCCCTCTCTCTCTCCCTTACCCCCTCTCTCTCTCTCTCTCTCTCTCTCTGTGACTTACTTATCCCCAACTCACAATTTACATTTGTACATACTGTTAGTGTAAAAATAAAGGATATTTATTTCATAAAACGGAGAAGGAGCAGTGGAATACTTTGTTACAAGTTCAAAGATGAATTTCTGAAGGTTTTAAGGAATCAAAATTAATAGAAAATTAACAATGAGTTTCAATACGAATAATAAACCTAAACAGGATTACTTTAAAGGTACTATGTCCCATTTGCAGGCCAAAAAAATGAAAAGGTTAACTTCCAACAGCATTTGAAAGATAATACTAATTTAGAACTTCCCTATAAAAGTGGGGCTAGAAAAAGTCTTCAAGTGGGAAAATAATGACTATTAGTTGTCAAATCGACTTAGGAGCTATAGAGCCAATAAGTAATAGTCTTGATTTTCAGACCATTGCAAAGATTCAATCAGTTTAATTTTGGCCATCACAAGAAGTGGGTTATTGATGTAGACAAATGCTCATGTACCCTTTACAGCTCATGTTATGTATGTTATTACCAGAGAAGAAAAAAAGCCAGTCAGTCACTCAATAGTATCTGACAGTGAAGTCTAGCAAGTAAACGGGTTTCCTTGCATAATTTGAATATTAGGACACTGCTAACATTTACATTTCCCAGATAGGACATACATGACATATTCATAATTCCTGCAAAGTTCTACAGAATTTGATGTTGGCTGCAAAAGGGACAGAGTACCTTTAAAGTGAAACAATCACCAAAACATGTTTTTATCTTGACACAAGGGGTTCCATGTGGCTAAACTCTCTTCAAATACTTATGAGCTTCCAAAATTAATATTACAACATAAATGCATTCTCAGTGAACATTAAAATGTCTTGTTGAGGAGACTACCAGTACTTTTTTTTTTAGGCGTGGTTTTGTTATTGTCAGTAGTTTTAATTTCTTCAAATAATTGATAATAAATATTGTATGATTAAAATAGCGTTAGGAGGCGCGATAGCTCAGTCGGTAGAGCAGTGGTCTCGTAATCCGGTGACCCGGGTTCAAAACCAAGGCGATGCGCTAGTGCCCTTTGTTAAGGCATTATTCCTCATTACCAGGTCCCTCAGAGAGGACCTAAAGCTGTTGGCCGTCTGGTTGCTTACTGAAAAGCATTTATGCTTTCTTAGCTGTCAGGTAAAATAACAACCAGTCAACCACCACCATTTAAGAAAGATATGTGTTTAATTCAATACTTCACATGTATGTACAATTTGTTATTATTTCATTACAGTCTATACTTATGTTTATATACTGTTATTGTATTATGCAGGGCTTCCTTGAAAAGCAGGTCCACTAGCAATCTTCCAGGGGAACTGAATAAAATTACCCTGTTGAAAAAAAAACATGAATAAATAAATATTACTTAAGACAAAGAACAATCTCATAGAATAGGGCGCACATGGTACCCAAGTACAACTTGGGTACCATGCACGCCCTATATACACAGAGTTTGATGTTATCCCAGGGGTCTCGGTCATGTAGAAATACTGTAAGCATGCGTGACCACAGGTTTTCCGGACACCCCTTAAACGATGATTTCTTCTCGAGCCAAAATATACCCTAAATGAGGATTTCACATGGTTTTTCCCCAAAATTCACACCCTTAACAGGTTTTTCACAAAAGTTTACTCCTAAACAAGTATTGCAAAATTGTAACCCCTCGAGTAAGCATTTTGAAGTGCGATAGGGATTACCATTTAAGTTGTTGACAATGTAAAATAAACCAAATTGCGCTTTTTATGTAAAGTTCACAATATAAAAATGTATTTCAATAGAGAAGCAATAACATCAACCTGTACACTTCCAAATGGGTTTAATGCACAGCCCATCATAAGTCCTTTCTTTGAAAAAAAGAATTACATTTCAAATTGGATCTATATTATATGAATACGTACCAGTACATGTAGTGTTTACAAAAAGAACACAATATACAATGAACAGCTACTATTCTACTATTCAAAACAAAATATAAATGTATATACCCTGGTAATACCTGAGGAACACATGTACAAATTTACTGGTAGGCAACCGGCAAGTCGGAGTCGGGGTCTTTAAAAATAGCCCTAAACGTGCACAGCAGGATTTTGAAAAAGTACCCTTTTTCTTGAAAATGGACGCAGACCCCATGACTTATACAAGCCGATCGCCTGTCTGATTCTCAAGACAATGATGATTGGAAATCAAAATTTCAAAAACCGTTCTCCTAAGGTTTGTTATAACACTACAGTCTATTGGGGAAAATGAGTATGGTAAAACCAGTCACTCAAAGATGTTTACCGTACTTTTTTGAGGCACTTCACGATCTGTTTGAATTTTTTTAGGGCCTCAATTTCACATCATATAACAGACACTGATAATGCTTAGGGCCATGCATCTCAGATTTAACATTGTTAAACAATGCCTTTAAGAACGCTTTTCAGAGAAAACCCTTTCTTAGAGTGTGAACTGTGTCTTTGTACCTGCTCAATGAGATTCCTTTTCTGATAAAATCTGTTCTCACATTATGTACGTTTATATGGATTTTCTACAGTATGTGTTGACAATTGAGTACACTTTTTCTAGAAAATCTTTTCTTACAGTGTGAACATTCATATGGCTTTTCTCCTCTGTGTGTAGCATAATGAGATGATAATTAACTTTTCTGAGAAAATCCTCTCTTTTTTCTTTTTTTTTAAACGTTTAGCCCTCCATAGGCTATTTTATTGAGTCAAACAAACATTTTTACAATTCAATGAAATTAAGTATTTCCTTAACTCAAACAAAACATAATACTTTCACATTTCTCTCCTTGTTGTTCATACGAACAAATGTTGAAGTTACTGCCATTTAGTAAAAAAAATGGTTATACATAGATATATACGAGATATAGAATAAATATATCTCTTGTGTTCATAATATTGAATAATTTTCTTCTTCAAAGAACTAAAATTTGGAATTTTGTTATTAATCTTTTGAACAAATAGTTGATGCTTAATCAAAGTCACCATGCAATTTAAAGCATCGTTTCTTTTGTCTTCAAAACCGAAAATTACATTTTCTAAATTAAACTCTAACCTTCATTTATCCATTTCACAGTTTCATTCCAGATTGATTTACTGATTTCACAATTGTAAAAGAAATGTACAATATCTTCCAGCTCTTTTTTACAAAACAAACATTTATCATTACTCACTATTTTCATCTTATACAGTTGCTTGTTCAAATACAGAATCCTATTTACTATCTTATGCTGAAAATATCTTAAACCAATAACTGGAGTAAAACAAAATATCACTCTATGATATTTCTGCATTCTTGGACATTCAGGGGTATAATCTAAATGGCATTCCCATTTCAGACATATTGAGTGCACACAATTTGTTTTTCCCAGAAAAGTTTTGTAAATTATATTGATAACCTTGTACTCATGTACTAATATATTGATATGTGATGGCATTAGAGGATCTACTACATTTTTCAATATGCATTTGATATCGTCAATTTATAGCTTGAGTTGCAGAATAATAAGACAAATAATTTAGTTTCAAGGAGAATTTTTTTTCTTCTTCAAACCGGTTCGAGTACGCCGTATTAATGGAATAGACGAGTTTTTGAATGCCTGCTGTTAGGCTGTTGTTGTTGCTGTTGTCAACAACACCTTGGATGTTAAGAGGCTTAAAACAATTTTTTTTTTAAAGAACAGTTTTCCTAGGCCTAAATCTCAGAGTTTTTTTGTTTTTTTAATTGATGAAATTGCTGATTGTAAGTGTGCACTATTATTAAGCAGGCAGCAAACCATGGTTGTACCATGCTTTGTTTATTGTGACGTCAGAGGGTAATTTGTTCGATCAATTTGTTCCATTGCACAGTGAAGTCACTTACACCTCACAATATACTTTGTACATGTACATCAGTGCAATGGTGCAAATCGATCATACAGAATTGCACGCCTGGAGAATGATGCCGTTCAACATTACTTTTACCGCATGTAATGTGATTAAGAATTGACCAATGAGGTTTCAAGAATCTTAGGTGTTGTATAAATATATGACACTTTTCTGAGAAAATCCTTTTTTACAATAGCAACATTCATATGGCTTTTCTATGTGTGCGGAGATGACGATTGAGTTCACTTTTCAGAGAAAAGCCTTTCTTACAATAGTAACATTCCTATGGCTTTTCTTGTGTATGTGTTCGAAGATGACGGTTAAAACTACTCATATAAGAAAACCCTTTCGTACAATAGCAACATACATATGGTTTTACTCCATTGTGTAAGAGGAGGTGTTCGTTAAGACCCCTCTTCCGAGAAAACCCTTTCTTACAATAGCAACATTCATATGGCTTTTCTTCTTTGTGTAAGAGGAGGTGTTGGTTAAAAGTACCCTTCTGACAAAATCCTTTCTTGCAGTATGAACATTCATATGTCTTCTCTCCTGTGTGTGTTCGGAGATGAAAATTGTGCTCACTTCTCTGAGAAAACCTTTCCGTACAATAGCAACATTCATAGGGCTTTTCTCGTGTATGTGTTTGAAGATGAAGGTTAAGAGCACTCTTCCGAGAAAACCCTTTCTCACAATAGGAACATTCATGTGGCTTTTCTCCTGTGTGTAAAAGGAGGTGTTGGTTAAGATTACTCTTCAGACAAAATCTTTTCTTACAATGTGAACATTCATATTTCTTCTCTCCTGTGTGTGTTAGTATATGACGATTGAGGGCACTTTTCTGAGGAAATCCTTTCTTACAATAGCAACATTCATATGGCTTTTCTCCTGTATGCGTTAGTATATGACATTTAAGTGTATTTTTCTGATAAAACCCTTTCTTACAATAGCAACATTCATATGTCTTTTCCCCTTCGTGTAAGAGGAGGTGTTGTTTAAGGTGGTATTTCCTAGAAAATACTTTCTTACAGTATGAACATTCATATGGCTTTTCTCCTGTGTGTAAGAGTAGGTGTTGGGTGAGATTGATTTTCCGAGAAAATCCTTTCTTGCAGTGTGAACATTCAAATGGCTTTTCTCCTGTATGTGTTAGTATATGACAATTGAGGGCACTTTTATGAGGAAATCCTTTCTTACAATAGGAACATTCATATGGCATTTCTCCTGTGTGTAAGAGGAGGTGTTTTTTAAGATTGCTTTTCCGAGAAAATCTTTTCTTACAATGTGAGCATTCATATGGCTTTTCTCCTGTATGTGTTAGTATATGAGAATTGAGGGCACTTTTCTGAGGAAATCCTTTCTTACAATGGCAACATTCATATGGCGTTTCTCCTGTATGCCGTCGTATATGACAATTAAGTGCATCTTTCCTAGAAAACCTTTTATTACAGTGTAAACATTCATATGGCTTTTCTCCTGTGTGTGTTCGGAGGTGATGGGTGAGAGCACTTTTCTTAGAAAACCCTTTCTTACAGTAGCAACATTCATATGGCTTTTCTCCTGTATGTGTTAGTAAATGTATATTGAGTGCACTTTTCTGAGGAAACTCTTTCGTACAATAGCAACATTCATATGGCTTTTCTCTTGTATGTGTTCGGAGATGACGCTTAAGAGTATTTTTCCCAAAAAATCTTTTCTCACATTGGGAGCATTCAAATGGCTTTTCTCCTGTATGTGTTAGAAGATGACGATTGAGGAGGCTTTTCTGAGAGAAACCTTTCTTACAATAGCAACATTCATATGGCTTTTCTCCTGTGTGTAAGAGGAGGTGTTGGTTAAGATAGCTTTTCCTAGAAAATCCTTTTTTACAGTGTGAACACTCATATGGCTTTTCTTCTGTGTGTGTTTTTAAGTGTTGGGTGAGATTGCTTTTCAGAGAAAACCCTTTCTTACAGTGCGAACATTCATGCAGCTTTTCTCCTGTATGTATTAGTATATGACGATCAAGTATACTTTTCTGAGAAAATCCTTTCTTACAGTGTGAACATTCATATGGCTTTTCTTCTGTGTGTGTTTTTAGGTGTTGGGTGAGATTGCTTTTCAGAGAAAACCTTTTCTTACAGTGCGAACATTCATATGGCTTTTCTCCTGCATGTGATCTCAAGTGGAGAAGAGGATGACTGGCCTGACATGATCTCTTACTGCAACATGGACACTGATGTAGCTTTTCTCCAGAATGTATCCTCATATAAATGTCGGGTTGATCTGTTGTGGAAAACACCTTGCCGCAATGTGAACAAAGATGAGATTTACCTCCACTGTTGAATGACATTCCACTTTCTACCGTGTCTTGTCCGTTGTCAACAATTTCACCTGGTGGAGAAAAAGAGAAAATTCATGTTATCAACACCTATAAGATACAGTGTAAGTCCTGTCACTTCAATTTGACACAGAAGTTTTTGGATTATGTTCTGAACTTCTGAGAAAAAAAAGGAATATGCCAAAATATACTTGACTCTTTAATCACCAATCCACATTTTTAAATATAAAATATTCTTTATAGTTTGAGCCAAAAGTATACCAAAAAAAATTAAGAGTATTTTGGGCATTCTTTTCTTAATAGAAGCAGAGTGTAATTCAAGCAGTGAGGCTTGGCCAAGCTAACCCACATACAATTCAGCGAAACTATTAAGTGGACTCTTGTTGTAGATGTAGTTTTAATTATCAAATAACTTTATGTATATTAATGTTAGCTTACCTGTCCTATATAAAAATAAACATTAACAAGTATATGCAAAGCAGAGCATCCCTTCGCCAAGTGCGCATGGCCTATATTTAACAATTTTTGCATATTTAAGGAGCTGTGACCTTTGACGTACATACTCAACAACATTACTTACATTATTGAATGAAAGCCACATTTTTGCAAACCTGCACCCCACATTTCAGTTACCATTTACCTGAAGAATAAGTAGCCGACATCTTGGACATTTCTTTTTTCAACCAACCGTATTTGAATATTCAATTTACGTAATCCCTACCTGGGTATTAAGTAAATCAATGAGATGTTCAACTAATCTTACAATAACTGAAATGTGGGGTGAACCGTGCAGGTTTTTATTCAAAGTCACAGATGTAACAAATAACAGTTTGTAACATGGAAATTACAGCATGTACCATCACCCCTATCCTGACTCCCATGAACACATCACTGAGTCTACCAGGGAAAGTTACAATGCTACAATAAAAAATGAAATTCTAGTTCACTCATGCATAAAAGTTTGGTTGAACAAACCATGAAATTCACTCTGCAAATCATGAATGTATCATATCACCCTAAATTTTGTAAGCTCCAAAGGATTTACCTCTCACAATATAATCCCTGCGCAACCTTATTTTCATACCCTTTATAAAAGTGAGCAGTGCTCACCCAAGCATGAATTATTTTCGGACTTTTTGGTGTCATATGAAAGTTGAGTCTATGAGCTTTCGATACATATAAAACTTTTTTCCCCAGAATCATATATTTTTTATTCGGCAGCCCTTTCAAAAGTGTATAGTTTTTTTGGGGACGCACGGTTTATCGTCCGGGTCATGTCATAGGTTAGTGGTTACTACCATTGTTCGGATGCATGAACGTACCATTTCACGGTTCTGAGATAAAAATTGGATAACTCTAAGTCCGTAAATTTCTCACTTAGAAATAGGTAATCAAAATTTGATTACTACACATACAATGTAGGAGTATACAAATATACATAGTATCTGCTTTATAGATAAGAAAATTAGATCTAAATATAGAAAATTGGGGGAGAAAATTTCGGGAACCAAAAGAGGTTCCGCTTCGGCTCTATCTATCTGCACGGTGCGATTCGCCTGGGATACCGTCTGTGTATGGGGAATGTAAAAAAATTCAGTTTTATTAAAGAAATGACCCATACGATACCCGTCTTACCAGACGGTTATTTCTGTCTATGCTAGCGCTAGCTATGTGACTTGTTTACTATTTTGCACGTAGTCCTAGGTATATTTATTTGTGTAGGAGTCGCCCATAAATTGGTGTGATGCCAGCTTGATTGGCATCGTCTATCTATGACCCTTCAAATAGTCATAACAAATTTCTTACTGAATGATGATTACATGATGGATGACTGTCATGACGAATTCAGCACCTTTTCTAATGCCCAAAACGAGGGGTATCTATAGTATTATAATTTATAGACGGCACTACTCCATCATCACATTCACAGAACAAGAGGCAGAGGCAAATGTAGCATGCACACGTACTTACACTAAATTGTCCCTCTAGGGCCATTGAGTACAAAAAAACAAACAAAAATTAACAAGCAAAGGTATATGTCCATTTTGTGGATTTTCACGTCTTTGACATGAAAATCCACAAAGTTGTTGCATAGGTATTATGTCAAATTTTGCGTTTGCGTGTCCCATAGGAGCCACCATACGGGTACCTCATTACACTGTTGTGCACAGCCTTAATTGAAATGACTGAATACTTGAGTGTATTTTCATAACATTTAAACCAAACCACCCATATAAAGTTAACAGTTAAATGTTTAGCAAAAAAAAACGTAATGACTCAGGCATACTTTGTATACAGGTTTCACTGGAATATCAATTCAAGTAATACCTTCTAGACTTGATGGAACACCTTCCTCTACACTTTCTCCTGTAGGTTCTTGCTTGATGTTGGTTTTGAGGGGTAACTGATGGATTTCCTCTCCAACTGTTAAAAAGGCCTCTGATTCTTCCTTGATGAGAACTTCTATGACTGATGGAATGAATTCATTCATGGGTGACAGGTAATGAACGGCATTGCTATCAACCTCTTGCTTGATGAGAACTCCTTCAACAAATTGAATAGTTTCCTCTGGAGGTGGCGAAGTATGTAAGGTCCAACTCTCTGCTTTTTGCATAATGTGTTCTGGGACTGATGAAGATTTGGAGGTCTTACTTTCCATTTCTTGCTTGTAAGTATGTCCTAGGGCTGTTTCTATGCACATATCTGTAAAATGCAGTGAACTCAAGGTCCTACTCTGAACTTCTTGCTTGATCCTATCTTCTGAGACTGACTGAAAACCTTCTGCTGCACTCCTATCCGTTGTTCTGAGAGGATTTGATGCCCCTCTCTCTGCTACTTGCTTGATCATATCTTCTGGGACTAAATGGACACTTTCTGCTGCACTCCTATCCATTGTTCCGAGAAGATTTGATGCCCCTCTCTCTGCTACTTGCTTGATCATATCTTCTGGGACTAAATGGACACTTTCTGCTACACTTCTATATGTGGTTTGGTGATGATCAAGTGTCCCTCTCACCATTTTTTGCTTGACTTCTAGGAATGACTGAACAGTCTCTGCTGCCATTAGATCTGCAGGCTGCACTGAATTCAAAGTCCTCACATCTGCTTCTTGCTTTAAGCCTACATTCCCTGAAAATAGAATGAAAACAAAGGTGTTTTACAGGATATCACAAACAGTACTATATTTCATACAGAAAACTTTCATCAGTTGGGGATAATGATAACATGTAGTTTCTAAGCTTCTACCAACCTTAAATTTGTTATGCAAGCTTTCATCCACTCCTGTGGACTTTCGTAAGCTAAGTGATCAGTCTGAGTCACACGTTTGCTTCGCTGCACTGCCTGGTGTTCTGGGATCACTGGACCAAAGATCGTAGACAATAGGTACCCAGAGTCCCTGTTTAGTGATGGCTTAATCCTCTTAATCCATTTGACTCATTCATCTTTCTTGACCAGAAGTTACTTTCAAAGTCTATTATGAAAGCATCCTGTGTTGAGGGCGTGTTCAGCTAATGCTGAATTGGATGGGTCAATCCGAGGGCTCTTTTGTGTTCTTTTAGACAACAGGCAGTGCAGCGAAACAAACGTGTGACTCAGACTTATCACTTAACTTGAGAAAGTCCACAGGAGTGGATGAAAGCTTGCATAACAAATTTAAGATTGGTAGAAGCTTAAAAACTATACAGTTGTATGTTAGTACTATTTTTTCTTGCAAAGGGAACCCCATAGGGAGGAAATCATATTCTGGGACTGGGTATTACCAATATATTGAAAATGAATAGAGGTAGTAGTAGAAGTAGTAATAGAATGTAGTAGAAGTAGTAGTTGTAATGGTAGTAGTAGTTGCACTGGTAGTTGTGTATTTGGCATTAAAGAAAATACATAAGGAATCAGAAATTGACAATTAAACATGAATACATGTACATGTACAGTAGATACCGGTAATGCAACCACTGATAAAGCAACTACTGGAATGCCAGGGACAGATTAAAGACCATCTCCAAACTGAAATGGATAAACCATATATCAAACTGGAGCTTATGAGCCATAGAATACAGTAATTGCTTTTACTTGCTCACAAAGTGTCGTGCAGAGGAGAACAAATTGTTTGAAAGCTTGAATTCACAAGCATCAGAACCTGGAACTAATAATCTCACCAAAAAAAAAGAAAAAGACTTGAAGATGTCTTTGTATTTACACTGTACAGGCTATAGCCAGCGGTCGCTTCGTCACATGTGTTTACGTACTGTCAACATAGTATGTATATCACTATGTGTTTACATTATAGTAGGGTGTCTGATCATGCACTGATGTTGTGTGCTAAAATCCTTCCCATAGAGATTGCACGCATCCCTATGCAGTCTACGTGCGTTGCGCGACCAATGCAAAGTTGGTCAATGATTTTATGAACAAATTGAAACTCAATAAATGAGGTGTCATATGGAAGAGCAGGTTTTTCTCCAAATTCCCCAAGGGGGTGCACCCCCTGAAATTCTAAAAATATCTTGGTCAAAACAGCGATTGTAATGTTGTTTGCATCCTAGCTCAAAAATTTGCCACTTTCCTGAACCGCGCCCCCCGGGTTTATGTCCGGCTAGACGTAAGGAATATATCTAGCCCCAAGAGATCACTCGCCCCAACAGTTTAAAAATACCTTTCCCCCCATTTGTTGGATCAGCTAATTAGGGAGGCGTGCGCTCTGCTCAGTCCAAACCATGGTTACATCGCGTAACATATGCACATAAATATGCATTCGGACCGCGTACAAATGAAACCCGAAAGTCATTGCATGTTGTAGTGAACGGATGGCTTGCAAATCGCGCTCTGAAACCCGGAAGTGAATGAACGTTATAGCCGATGGAGCCGTTTGGCTAAATTTAGCAAAACAACATAACTCTGCGCTTACGTCTGTTTCGTCGAGTCTGACCAAAATAATATGAATATTGCAGAGCTTTGGAGGGGCTGTATCTTTTGATAGAAACATCGGTGAGTCTTGAAATTTGAAATGTATTATTCTGATTACATTTTCTATTCACATATATTTTTTTTAAATGGTGAAAAACGATCCCAAATTGAAAATTGAAAAATCGTCCAGACACCCTAGTTACAGATTTTTACATTCAAATATTGCAAAAAAATTGCAACGAATCACCAATAAATATCGAACAGCTCGTTACATGTAGTTTAATGAATCCTTATTAGTAAATGAGCTAAATCAATATGAAACTAGAAATATCGCAATCTGTATTACCGCGCAATGCGAATGTATTCCCCGGCAGTGGCAGCATGGCATGGCCCTCGCGTACACAGATAACGCGTGGCGCGCGCGCCACGCGTTCCTGATGGGCCCGACCTAGCGCCACGCGTTCTTAAAAAAAAAAAAAAAAAAAAAAAAAAAAAAAAAATCATTTTTTTTTTTTGTTTTTTTTTTTGAAAAATCAGAAAATTCCGGATTTTCTGGTCCTAGAAATCCCCCAAAAACAGAATATTCTGAATTATTCGTAAGGGTTGGCAGGTATGGTATTAAAAATTCATCAAATTACTTGTAATACTTGTAAAGAATAAATTTAAATTAAAAAAAAAAAAAAAAAATCAAATTTTTACTTTTTTTTTTTTTTTTTTGGGGGGGGGGGGTCAAATTTGAGTGGCAGTGATTTTGTGTCATCCTTATCGAGGGAGGGACAAAGATCCCCTCTCCACTCCCTGGACCAGGCCTGACATAGAGATCACTATAACAATATGTGTGTAGATTAGAGTATAATGCATCTCTGTAGAAAATTTGAAAGAAAGCTGTATGAGTGTTATTCACCGCATTATACGGCAGCAGCACATTTACGGAATGCCAGTCAGAGGTCAACGCCATTGTGTAGAGATCTTAAAGTCACACGCTACACAAAAAAAGGGAACTAAGCTGTATCGCTCTGGTAAGATATTTGCTATTATTTCCTTATTTTTTCCTCCAAATTTGAATTTCCGGAAATAATTTGGAGTACGTAGAAGTGGCATAAAATCCATCGAGGCCACTGTCCAATATTAGTCGGGTGTGGGAAGGTGTAATTTCGGACACATTTTAGCGTTTGTTAACATGGTTCTCCGCACGCTTGTATGAGAGCCATTTAGCTAGCTGGTATCAATATCGTAAAAACATTACCAGGCTACCAGCGAGCCCATAAGGCTAACCTGACCAGACACTGGAAAAAATAACAGTGGTAAAAATTAGCTTATTTTCTTCATACATACTCAGCTGCATTACTATCCTGGCTGTGTATTAAAAGCTGTGGCTGTGCTATTGTTGATTCTGATTCTCAACATTTCAAACACCACTGTCCACTGTTCAAAACTCAACTGATTTCACTAAAAATTGGTACTTTAGTGACGGTTGATGACACCTAAATAGCATTCAAACACAATTTTGTTCAACTTTCCGATGTTAGACTTAGAAAGGATAATTACAAATTCAAATTGTGAATCTACTGTCAAACTTACCGATCAGCTGCATCGGCATGATTGTGTGCAGTTGTGTGTTGTGAGTGGATCAACTTTTCATGTATTCAAATGCTGCCTAATAACACGTAGAGTGCAGTGGTAGTACTACAGTTAGACATGCCGGGTCTACATGTACTTACCGGGTACGTTCACTGTTGGTCTGAAAATGGAGGAAATTGCGGTTGCCATCAAATTCTTGAACAAATTAATCTGGGAACATTTGAATGTGATCTCCTCTCAGGTTGTTCACGGATCCGATATAAATAAGAGGAGGATAACCACCAATAATGGGTACTATAGTGTCTCTAAATCGTATAATCGAAAAGGAAAAGGAGAATTTTGCACGTCTCGGCTGACGGTAATACAATCTAATCTCTTATATTACTAGTATATAAGAGATTAGATTTTGATGTTTTTGAAAATATCTTATGGCATTTTAACTAAATGATACTGACACCATTTAAAGGTGAGATCTTTCTGCCTGGGTCTTACTGTTTCAGATTGAATCTAGGGCTCAAACAGGCATAGAATACGGGGTTTACCCGCACTATATACAGAGAATAATTGGGCAAAATCCGTTTCATACTTTGAAGGCTTTTAAAACTATCGTATGGCATTGAAGTAAATAATGACCGAGACCCTTTTAAAGTTGAGATCTTACTCTTTACTCCCATATATGTCACATGCCAAAGTAATTTGTCTTTGCAATTTTAGAACCACATTAGGCGCATACCCAGGCACTTCCTGGAGATTTTTTTTGTTGTTTTGTTATGGTCCGCGAAAATTTGAAAAAAAAGGTTAAATTTAACGTCCCGCCCGACCTCTGGATCCACCACTGCCTTCTGATTGGTTAGAAGTTAGAGAACAGTACTCTGTCACGTCGCGAGACGTTGTATGTGCTTCGTTGCTGCACAAGTCACAAAGACGGTGATCTGGTACTACCCAAATTTTCACGTGTTTGGGACACATAACAATAAAAATCCCCGTTTGACACTTCATTAGAGAAAGAAGATGATTCGTTGTACCGTTCCCGACTCTTAATTCTTGTTTCGCCCCTCCCGCGCGAAGCACTGCAGCTATGACTTTTCATTTAAATATTAGTGAAAGAAGACGATTTGTTGTAACGTTCTCGACTCTTAATCCTTGTCTGAATTCAGTCCCCCCCCCCCCCCCCCCCCCCCCCCCCCCCCACCGCGCGAAGAAGACGATTCGTTGTACTGACTCTTAATCATTGTCTGAATTTTTAAAAATGATTCTTTGTCCGATAAAAAGTCACAATTCGTAAGGAAAAAATTGCCGGCCGGCCGACATAGGCCTACATCTTTCCGACTTCAAACTTCTGCATTGATAATAGTACACGAGGATCGAGCAAGAATACCGACACAGTATCTTTCTTGCTCCCCCGACGTGGCGACTCCACCCAACACCCCCCCCCCCCCCTCCTCTCTCTCTCTCTCTCTCTCTCTCTCTCTCTTATTCCCAGTGTCCCACCCTTTTCTCCTTGGCTCTTTACCCCCTCCTTCTCTCCTCTCTTTTACCCCCCGTTTCTTTTGTTTCCTTTTCCTCTTTTGTTTCTTTTCCTTTCTTTCCTCTCATTCCTCTTTTTCCTTTTTCTCTTTCATTTTTCTCTTATTTTTTCTTTCTTTTCCTTTCCTTTTTTCTTTTCTTTCCCTTTTCCTCTCATTTTTCCCTCCCCCTTTTCTCATTTTTCCCGACAGCAGCGCAATTTTACCGACAACATCCTGACAGGTGGGGTATCGCATCCCCACCCACACACACATATAACCCCCCCCCCCCCCTTTAGCGACGCCCCTGCCTGTCAGTTCTAATTCATCCTGGCCAAACCAGTGCAGATAGGATTTAATATAGAGGCGGCGCGCGATCGAGAGACCGAATTTGCCAATGCAAGGCGAATATAAGTGTAATACAATATTTTGTTATGGGGTCATGCATTTGGTTCAAATGAACATATTGGAAACATTATGCGATTTTATAATATCCAATGATCGTTGTCGCGTTTGAAATCGAGTCTCAAGTAATGCAATTGTAAATAATCAACTTTATGTTTCATAGATCCCTCTCAAGACTGATATCACTTTAGCTTCAAAACAATGTTTGTACTACAATCGACCGATTTGCTATCGCCGTTTGGAAATCATATATCATTAATGCATATGCTGAGATATTCATGGTCGCAGCTGAAATATTTGAAATTTACCAGCGAGAGCACCGGTAAAGTTTGATTATTTAATTTCTCGAAAGCAAATCTGTTTTATAGGGGCTGAATTTTGTAGTGCTTATAATACATATACAATTTTTGGTCATCCAAATACAACAAGATTTTAAAGAATAATACTATATCCATCCAATTTTCAAAATTTCTCAAAACTAATTTGCATTACCTTAAAACACATGTACTTACTAAAATTAGTGTTAATAAATACATTTTTTAGAACACTCGTTTTAATATGTCAAATAATTATTATGTGGAAAATTTCACAATTTTAGGAGGTTTCTTTCCTTTAAAAAAATGACTCTGGGCTAATATCCGTTAATACAGATCAGCATTTATCAGCACTTCCTGGATAAAAGGGCACCTTCAAATGGAAATCTCGAAGTGATAATATACATTTTGTTAGACATTGGTATATTTTATACCACCGCCTGATTTTAAATACAGTATCAAGGTTGATTTCAATATTTGTTTCTCTTTCGTTATAAACCATTCATGATATTGCTTTAATAAGCATCATACTTTGCGGTTGGGTGTGCAGGTCTGAATATCATTAATGTTCAGATTTGTGAGGTCGAAGTGCGAAAAATTACATCTCATAAAGAGGGAAAATCCCAACCATGATGGGGTTTATTAAGCACATTCTCATAACGGTAGACTGAAAAGATCTTAAATTTTGATGACATAACTATATCACCCATGAATGAGACCGAGCGAGCTTGGGGGAAGTTGCTCTAAATTGCTGTAAATTAGCATTGTTAATGATGAGAGGAAAAGAAACACTAATCGAAATGGATAAGACACATTAACAAAAAGAAAATGAGCACGTCGTGTCAAAGTACAGGTCATATTTCTCCTTCTATCCTCTCTCCCTGTCTCTCTTCCAAACCCACCACTTCTTCTCTCTCACTCTGTCTCTCTCCCGAACCCACACCCGTCTCTCCCCCTCACATAATCTGTCTCTTTCACTAACCCACCCTTCTTTCTCTCTCTCGCGAAGCCACCCCCCCCCCCCCCTAACCCCCTCCCTCTCTCTCTCACTCTCTCTTTCCCTAACCCACCCCTCTCTCTCTCACTCTCTCTTTCCCTGACCCACCCCTCCCTCTCTCTCTCTCTCGATCCCTGTCTCTCTCTCCCAAACCCACTCCTGTTTCTCTCTCTCTCTCTCTCCATAACCCACCCCCTCTCTCTCTCTCTCTCTCTCTCTCTCTCTCTCCCTGTCTCTCTCTCCCAAACCCACTCCTCTCTCTCTCTCTCTCTCTCTCTCTCTCTCTCTCTCTCTCTCTCTCTATGTGACTTACTTATCCCCACCTCACAATTGGCATCTTTCCATAGTGTAACAATAAAGGATATTTATTTCATAAACCAGAGAAGGAGCAGTGAAATACTTTGTTACAAAGTTCAAAGATGCATTTCTGAAATTTAATAGAAAATTAACACCGACTTGCAATACAAATAATAAACATAAACAGGATTACTTTTCATATTCATATTCATATTTATTTCATATCCAACAGAAAGGTAAACAAAGATATTACATTTTTTTTTCGTACATAATTCATTTTTTCAGGCAACTATACAAATAAACTTTGCAGATAATAAAATTATTACAAGAAATTCTTAATTTCTGAGAAAATGGGGGGGGGGGGGTCCACTAAAAAGCAGTGCTTGCAGTTTGTGGATCCCCCAGAAAAAATATAAATATAAATGTTTCAAATTTTGCCTACGAAGACTTAGAAAACACAAGACAATATTACAAAACAACAATGTACAACCACGAAACGAACAAGGAGAAGTAAATCAGATAAGAAAGAAAGGGGAAAAGGGAAAAAAGGAAGAAGAAGAAGCAGGACAAATCATGACCGAAAAAAGGTAGTTATACTGTTAATTTTGGGAAGGTAAGATCATAAGACCAAATAAATATTAAATTAATCGAGCAGATGATGAAGAACTAAATGAAAAATTAAGATGATTACCAACCGTTATCAGATTATTCTTCTATATTACTATAAGATTTGAGCAAAAATGTTTTTTCGATTTTTCTTGAAAATATTTAGGGATAGACTATTTTTAATACCTTCACTTAGAGAATTCCAAAATCTAGGACCATCATACATAAAAGACTTCTTCGCTAATAAAGTTCTAAAGAGTGGTAGGTGGAACTCGTTTGACCGTCTAGTTGGGTAATCATGAAATGATCGATTTAGGGGGAACATGGCATCAAATATATGTGGAAGGGTCTTTTTTGAATACTTATACATAAATTGTCCTAAGTGAAGTAGATACAGGTCATTTGTTTTGAATAGTCTGCCATTAACAAATAACGGGTCTGTGTGTGAGAGTGGAGCAGAATGGTAAATAATACGGTGAGACTTCTTTTGTAATAATAACAGTCTATTTAGTGGAGTTTGCTGCGTGTTGCCCCAAGCAAGTATCCCATAATTCAGAAATGGTAAAATTAAAGACAAGAGAGAAAGAGTACTTAAAGCGTACCATATCACACACAAACAAAATTTGCTCTGTATGCTCAGGTTTCCATGGAACTTTTCTGTATTCAAAATATGTGCTTCAAATAGTACTTGTGGAAAGACTCTCAATTAACAAAGAAGCAACTACTCCAAGCACTCATACAAAATCACTTAGAAAGGGCATTTTGCATGGATTTTTACAAACTCATAACTTTCTCTTTGTTTGACCGATCTTATTTTCATGCTCCAATCAAATGTTGGAAAGGTTGGATTGCACATGGAAGAGTAACTTGAACAAAAGACTTCTAATAAAGGTAATTAACATACCACTAAGATGGCTACAACTAGACCAATGATGCTGCCAGCAAAGACATCGCTCCAGTGATGCTTGTAGTCCGATACTCTAGAGAGACCAACCAAGATGACCGCCAGGCACCGGCTAACTACAGGAAAGGCCTGAGCAGGGTATCTCCAAATACTTCTGGTATCATTCGTGCTTGAAGATAAATCTGAAATGGTTAGACATACTTAAAACTGATAATCATTAGTACCAGTAATTTGTTTCATTATCTGTATTTCGTAGAGGCAGGGGTGAAATCTGTCAATTACAATTACTTCTGTCAGGCATTTAAAAATATTATTCAGTCAATTGCTTTAAAATAGAAATAAAAGTAATACAAACTACCGGTAGTTAAAAGTAAACACATTGTAAAACAATATATTTTTAAAAATAAAATTTCTACTTTCCGAAAGGCTGTAAATATTAGCAGATTCTATGGCAGTTACAAAAGAGCAACTTGAAATGTGATTTGTGTTTTAGATTCATGATGCTCTTACTTGTATAACAGTTCATGAACGGTTCTTTCGTTTTAGTTATCTTGCTCCCTTGGGAGTGGGAATTCCCATTTGCCTTTTTTAAAGCGTGTTTCTATTCACCTCCTCTTCATGCTGTTTTCTAATTTTTCAATGCTCTAAAACACTTGTTGTTTTTCCTATTTCTCTCTCGCATGCCCTCACTTCCCCTCTCTCCCTTTTATGATGCTCTAACACGTTACAAGTTACAACAATTAATTTGTTGCATACATTATGTGATTGGTGGGTTAAGGGAATAACAATCTTAGTCAGTCAGGAGCTAATAACTGAAATGAAAGAACCGTTCATGAACTTTGGTTTTATGATAATTCATAACCTACCAATCACGATTGCGTATTCGGGTCATGGATATGTCATGAAATCAAAGTTCATGAACAGTTCTTTCATTTCAGTCATCTTGCTCCTGACCGAGTTTGAAGATTGTCATTTTCTTTGGAGGATCTTTCTGAGCCTTACATGATTTACACTCAATCAGATCATTTGAAGTCATAGACTGGAACACATTATAATTCAACTGATTTGAAGGTAAGATTTGTCATGTGAATGAATTAGCATTTATACATATTTTCTCCAAAAGCCTTGTCTGTTATCAAAGCAACGACTAAATTGTTGAAAAATATTAGTTTTTAACCTACCAATCACGATTGCGAATTTGGGTAATAGTGGATATGTCATATTAACAAAGTTAATGAATGGTTCTTTCATTTCAGTTATCTTGCTCCTGTCCTGACTGCACAGTATAAAGATTGTCAATTTCTTTGGAAGGTCTTTCTGAGCATCATAAGATTCACACTACCGTATATCAGAGGATTTGAAGTCAAAGACTTGAACACATTATAATTCAAGTGAATTTAAGGTAAGATTTGTCATGTGAATCAGTCTTAATTCATTAACCAATATTCTTCAAATATGTATCAGCTACATGTACAATGTACGTTATGTTATAACTTTCAGTATTGGACGTAATTCAAAGATGGTAGTAGGTATCAAGTTCTATCGTGCTTCCCTCGGAAGTGGGAATTCCCACTGGTCTTGTCACCTCTTCTACATGCTGTTTTTTAATTTTTCAATGCTCTAAAACACTTGTTTTTTTCCTATTTCTCTCTTGCATGCCATCACTTGCTCTCTCTCTCTCTCTCTCTCTCTCTCTCTCGCTCTCTCTCTCTCTCTCTCCCTCCCTTATGATGCGTTACAACAATCAATTTGTTGCATATATTATACAATTGGTAAGTTAGAGAATCTCAATCTGTTTACTCCGTCAGGAGCAAAATAACCAAAATGAAAGGACCGTTCATGAACTTTGGTTTTACGATAATCCATAACCTACCAATCACGATTGCGTATTTAAGTCATGGATATGTCATGAAATCAAAGTTCATGAACAGTTCTTTCATTTCAGTCATCTTGCTCCTGACCGAGTATAAAGATTGTCATTTTCTTTGGAGGATCTTTCTGAGCCTTACATGATTTACACTCAATCAGATAATTTGAAGTCATAGACTGGAACACATTATAATTCAACTGAATTTAAGGTAAGATTTGTCATGTGAATCAGTCTTAATTCATTAACCAATATTCTTCAAATATGTATCAGCTACATGTACAATGTACGTTATGTTATAACTTTCAGTATTGGACGTGATTCAAAGATGGTAGTAGGTATCAAGTTCTATCGTGCTTCCCTCGGAAGTGGGAATTCCCACTGGTCTTGTCACCTCTTCTACATGCTTTTTTTTAATTTTTCAATGCTCTAAAACACTTGTTTTTTTCCTATTTCTCTCTTGCATGCCATCACTTGCTCTCTCTCTCTCTCTCTCTCTCCCTCCCTCCCTTATGATGCGTTACAACAATCAATTTGTTGCATATATTATACAATTGGTAAGTTAGAGAATCTCAATCTGTTTACTCCGTCAGGAGCAAAATAACCAAAATGAAAGGACCGTTCATGAACTTTGGTTTTACGATAATCCATAACCTACCAATCACGATTGCGTATTTAAGTCATGGATATGTCATGAAATCAAAGTTCATAAACAGTTCTTTCATTTCAGTCATCTTGCTCCTGACCGAGTATAAAGATTGTCATTTACTTTGGAGGATCTTTCTGAGCCTCACATAATTTACACTCAATCAGATAATTTGAAGTCATAGACTGGAACACATTATAATTCAACTGATTTGAAGGTAAGATTTGTCATGTGAATGAATTAGCATTTATACATATTTTCTCCAAAAGCCTTGTCTGTTATCAAAGCAACGACTAAATTGTTGAAAAATATTAGTTTTTAACCTACCAATCACGATTGCCTATTTGGGTAATAATGGATATGTTATATTAACAAAGTTTATGAATGGTTCTTTCATTTCAGTTATCTTGCTCCTGTCCTGACTGCACAGTATAAAGATTGTCAATTTCTTTGGAAGGTCTTTCTGAGCATCACAAGATTCACACTACCGTATATCAGAGGATTTGAAGTCAAAGACTTGAACACATTATAATCCAACTGGATTTAAGGTAAGTTTTGTCACACAAATCACCTTTCAAGTTGCTCTTTTGTAACTGCCATAGAATCTGCTAATATTTACAGCCTTTCGGAAAGTAGAAATTTTATTTTAAAAAATATATTGTTTTACAATGTGTTTACTTTTAACTACCGGTAGTTTGTATTACTTTTATTTCTATTTTAAAGCAATTGACTGAATAATATTTTTAAATGCCTGACAGAAGTAATTGTAATTGACAGATTTCACCCCTGCCTCTACGAAATACAGATAATGAAACAAATTACTGGTACTAATGATTATCAGTTTTAAGTATGTCTAACCATTTCAGATTTATCTTCAAGTAGGCATCAGGTTGTGCTCCCTCGGGAGTGGGAATTCCCACTGGCCTTGTTAGCTTTTTTAAAGTGTGTTTCAATTCACCTCCTCGACATGCTGTTTTCTAATTTTTCAATGCTCTAAAACACTTGTTGTTTTTCCTATTTCTCTCTGGCATGCCCTCACTCTCTCTCTCTCTATCCCTTTTATGATGCTCTAACACGTTACAAGTTACATCAATCAATGAATTTGTTGCATACATTATGTGATTGGTGGGTTAAGGGAATAACAATCTTAGTCAGTCAGGAGTAAAATAACTGAAATGAAAGAACCGTTCATGAACTTTGGTTTTACGATAATCCATAACCTACCAATCACGATTGCGTATTTAAGTCATGGATATGTCATGAAATCAAAGTTCATGAACAGTTCTTTCATTTCAGTCATCTTGCTCCTGACCGAGTATAAAGATTGTCATTTTCTTTGGAGGATCTTTCTGAGCCTTACATGATTTACACTCAATCAGATAATTTGAAGTCATAGACTGGAACACATTATAATTCAACTGAATTTAAGGTAAGATTTGTCATGTGAATCAGTCTTAATTCATTAACCAATATTCTTCAAATATGTATCAGCTACATGTACAATGTACGTTATGTTATAACTTTCAGTATTGGACGTGATTCAAAGATGGTAGTAGGTATCAAGTTCTATCGTGCTTCCCTCGGAAGTGGGAATTCCCACTGGTCTTGTCACCTCTTCTACATGCTTTTTTTTAATTTTTCAATGCTCTAAAACACTTGTTTTTTTCCTATTTCTCTCTTGCATGCCATCACTTGCTCTCTCTCTCTCTCTCTCTCTCTCTCCCTCCCTCCCTTATGATGCGTTACAACAATCAATTTGTTGCATATATTATACAATTGGTAAGTTAGAGAATCTCAATCTGTTTACTCCGTCAGGAGCAAAATAACCAAAATGAAAGGACCGTTCATGAACTTTGGTTTTACGATAATCCATAACCTACCAATCACGATTGCGTATTTAAGTCATGGATATGTCATGAAATCAAAGTTCATAAACAGTTCTTTCATTTCAGTCATCTTGCTCCTGACCGAGTATAAAGATTGTCATTTACTTTGGAGGATCTTTCTGAGCCTCACATAATTTACACTCAATCAGATAATTTGAAGTCATAGACTGGAACACATTATAATTCAACTGATTTGAAGGTAAGATTTGTCATGTGAATGAATTAGCATTTATACATATTTTCTCCAAAAGCCTTGTCTGTTATCAAAGCAACGACTAAATTGTTGAAAAATATTAGTTTTTAACCTACCAATCACGATTGCCTATTTGGGTAATAATGGATATGTTATATTAACAAAGTTTATGAATGGTTCTTTCATTTCAGTTATCTTGCTCCTGTCCTGACTGCACAGTATAAAGATTGTCAATTTCTTTGGAAGGTCTTTCTGAGCATCACAAGATTCACACTACCGTATATCAGAGGATTTGAAGTCAAAGACTTGAACACATTATAATCCAACTGGATTTAAGGTAAGTTTTGTCACACAAATCACCTTTCAAGTTGCTCTTTTGTAACTGCCATAGAATCTGCTAATATTTACAGCCTTTCGGAAAGTAGAAATTTTATTTTAAAAAATATATTGTTTTACAATGTGTTTACTTTTAACTACCGGTAGTTTGTATTACTTTTATTTCTATTTTAAAGCAATTGACTGAATAATATTTTTAAATGCCTGACAGAAGTAATTGTAATTGACAGATTTCACCCCTGCCTCTACGAAATACAGATAATGAAACAAATTACTGGTACTAATGATTATCAGTTTTAAGTATGTCTAACCATTTCAGATTTATCTTCAAGTAGGCATCAGGTTGTGCTCCCTCGGGAGTGGGAATTCCCACTGGCCTTGTTAGCTTTTTTAAAGTGTGTTTCAATTCACCTCCTCGACATGCTGTTTTCTAATTTTTCAATGCTCTAAAACACTTGTTGTTTTTCCTATTTCTCTCTGGCATGCCCTCACTCTCTCTCTCTCTATCCCTTTTATGATGCTCTAACACGTTACAAGTTACATCAATCAATGAATTTGTTGCATACATTATGTGATTGGTGGGTTAAGGGAATAACAATCTTAGTCAGTCAGGAGTAAAATAACTGAAATGAAAGAACCGTTCATGAACTTTGGTTTTATGATAATTCATAACCTACCAATCACGATTGCGTATTCGGGTCATGGATATGTCATAAAATCAAAGTTCATGAACAGTTCTTTCTTTTCAGTCATCTTGCTCCTGACCGAGTATAAAGATTGTCATTTTCTTTGGAGGATCTTTCTGAGCCTCACATGATTTACACTCAATCAGATAATTTGAAGTCATAGACTGGAACACATTATAATTCAACTGATTTGAAGGTAAGATTTGTCATGTGAATGAATTAGCATTTATACATATTTTCTCCAAAAGCCTTGTCTGTTATCAAAGCAACGACTAAATTGTTGAAAAATATTAGTTTTTAACCTACCAATCACGATTGCGTATTTGGGTAATAATGGATATGTCATATTAACAAAGTTTATGAATGGTTCTTTCATTTCAGTTATCTTGCTCCTGTCCTGACTGCACAGTATAAAGATTGTCAATTTCTTTGGAAGGTCTTTCTGAGCATCACAAGATTCACACTACCGTATATCAGAGGATTTGAAGTCAAAGACTTGAACACATTATAATCCAACTGAATTTAAGGTAAGATTTGTCATGTGAATCAGTCTTAATTCATTAACCAATATTCTTCAAATATGTATCAGCTACATGTACAATGTACGTTATGTTATAACTTTCAGTATTGGACGTGATTCAAAGGTGGTAGTAGGTATCAAGTTCTATCGTGCTTCCCTCGGAAGTGGGAATTCCCACTGGTCTTGTCACCTCTTCTACATGCTGTTTTTTAATTTTTCAATGCTCTAAAACACTTGTTTTTTCCCTATTTCTCTCTTGCATGCCATCACTTGCTCTCTCTCTCTCTCTCTCTCTCTCGCTCTCTCTCTCTCTCCCTCCCTTATGATGCGTTACAACAATCAATTTGTTGCATATATTATACAATTGGTAAGTTAGAGAATCTCAATCTGTTTACTCCGTCAGGAGCAAAATAACCAAAATGAAAGGACCGTTCATGAACTTTGGTTTTACGATAATCCATAACCTACCAATCACGATTGCGTATTTAAGTCATGGATATGTCATGAAATCAAAGTTCATGAACAGTTCTTTCATTTCAGTCATCTTGCTCCTGACCGAGTATAAAGATTGTCATTTTCTTTGGAGGATCTTTCTGAGCCTTACATGATTTACACTCAATCAGATAATTTGAAGTCATAGACTGGAACACATTATAATTCAACTGATTTGAAGGTAAGATTTGTCATGTGAATGAATTAGCATTTATACATATTTTCTCCAAAAGCCTTGTCTTTTATCAAAGCAACGACTAAATTGTTGAAAAATATTAGTTTTTAACCTACCAATCACGATTGCCTATTTGGGTAATAATGGATATGTTATATTAACAAAGTTTATGAATGGTTCTTTCATTTCAGTTATCTTGCTCCTGTCCTGACTGCACAGTATAAAGATTGTCAATTTCTTTGGAAGGTCTTTCTGAGCATCACAAGATTCACACTACCGTATATCAGAGGATTTGAAGTCAAAGACTTGAACACATTATAATCCAACTGGATTTAAGGTAAGTTTTGTCACGTGAATCAGCATTCCTTCATGTTTTACCCAATGATATGTTTGATTTTCATAAAACTAAAAATTCAAGAAAATTTAATGACAATTAAAACAAATGAAGCAGATCCTGCAAATAAGGTCCTTTTATATAGTGTATATTTCAATGAGAAACTCTGATTTAAAAGGGAAACCAAGATTGTGATGTTCATGGACAGGCGGTCTTTCTATACAGGTGGTGACAAAAGCAGGTTTCACCAGTTAGGTTCATCTGACAGTCCGTTAACTTTAAGTTTAGGTCGTGGTTTTAAACTTCAACGTTATCTTGTAGTTGGGGACAGTGCGGACGCACTTGTAGTTAAAATGAATGTTTTCACTGGTTGTAGTTTAAAACTAGTGAATGCTTTTTGTTTCGGTCGTGTGTGAACCCTCCCCATTAATTGTAAGTGGATTGTTGTATATAACGTGAAGGTTTCGCAAACTTAGGATTTAAAACTGCAACTGTACCGTTGGAACAGAGCAACTGTCATTTAAAATCGTATACTTACAACCCAGTATGCGAAAAAGTAAAATGCAGAAGATGCGTGTCCTGATGGAAATGATAATCTGAAAAGTACAAGAAAGGAAAAAGTTATAAATATTGAAGGTGTTGGAAGCTTTAATACATACGACTTTCAGAAATTCATTTATTGATAAATATTCATTTTCTCCATTATTTTTTTCGACAAACACTGTCTGGTATCATGCAGTAAAAGCATTTTCTCATAGTTTTTATTATAAGCCCATATTTTAGATAATATTTGCTCTGAATGAGAATTAACACACCACTTTTATCATACATGATTTTAATGTGGAAAAAAAAAATGCAGAATAGCGATTATATTCCATGTAAGGATTAAACTAATTTTCATCAGTATCTTCTGAACCTACAAATTATTATGACCTGAATTCAATGGCCATTTTTGTGGCAGGGAACTATTGCAAATGCCACAAATGCTGAATTCCACTAAGTTGCATCATGATATTTCGGGGAATCTCAATGACTCATTAAGTTCATAAAAGCCAAATGTTAAAGTATAATGCTAAATATCAGACTCTACCATTAAAGTTTTGAAGACAATAATATATTTCACTAGTTTAATTAGGCCTATATTCTACTCATTCGGTTAAAGGTAAAGACTAGTTTTGGAAACGCCCCCTCTCATAAAATGAAATGGAAGCTCTTATTACCAATCATGTGAAAGAATATGTTTTGACTGATACGTGATGACACAAATTTTGCCGGGAAATCGCTACTAATTATATAGTCCCAATTATATTTGGTCAATTATTATATATATTTGGACCTGATAGATATCGAGCATGTGTCGCGCACGTGTCGCGTAGTCCCATATATATATCTTTCTGTGTACAGTGCTTGTAACTTTACCAAGACTACAGGCCATTTTTTTTTTTTTATCATTTTGATGATTCCAGAACCTTGCAGTACACACCAATACTTATGCTAGATGATCAAAGAAAAAAAAATGAATCCTAAATTTTTGCAAAAATAATAGTCATTTTATGTGTTGGAACAAAACAGAAACGTTTTCAGGCATTACATCACAGTGAGTGCCTATACTTATGGTGGTTACAACTTTCAAAAATTCATAACTCTCTTTACTATCACAGGGATCACACACTGACAATCTTTCAACTTGTAAAAGGGCCAAGATATTGTTAAAAACTTAATAATTGAAATCTTTCCTAAAATTATGGTGACAAATATCAATAATTACTTACAAAGCTACAGTCATTTTCACTTAAAATTTCGATTTTGCAACTAGCAGTGTTATATTCACCCAATTTGTTGTGTACAAATTGAGGGCATACATTTTCACTCACAGAAAAACAAGTCTTGAAAATTTGAATCTGAAATTTTGCACATACTTTCATAAACTCATTTTGCTGCTACAAATAAATTTTGAGATAAGTTCTAAAGGGCTTGCAAATCCCTGATAGGGTCTATACACGTAATAAATACAGGCCTTCGGTTTGTGCTTCTGCTAAAAAAAATAATGTGGTTGTTAACATTTTTCAAATTTAACATTACTAACAAGCATAACTCTCTAATTTAGAATAATCTGAATCAAATTGAATTTAATGATTTCATTTCCTCAGCGATATGGCACATGGGGAAGCATACTTTGATCCAGAGATACACTGCATTTCTCTGTACAATCGAAAGTTAGATCACAGATTACCAACATCCCCGATGGACTATTGCCTGGTGATGATTTTTGCAACACAGAACAGTACTATCGCTAGAAGTACAATACGATCAAAGCTGAACGCAGAACTGACAAGGTATGATCCTTACCTTGAATTCTCCATTCGTTTAGGGAGGGGAAATGTGGGAAAGCACAAGAAATTGGTCATGGAAAAGTTAGGACATAAAGTTACTCTAGATCAGCTCGGGTATTATGCCAGTGCGGTAACTAAAGGAAAAACTCAGTGGGTTTGGGCTAATATAGATAGATTAGATTACTGGAAAAGGAAATCAAGGCATGGATATGATGTAATAGATGTCCTCAGAGATATAGTGCATGACAAGCCTGAATGGAGATAGGGAGACTTGGTAGAGGAAGGAAATTTAGGTCAAAGACATCCCTATTATGTACACCGGTATACCATAATTCTTTAGATACCACACAAGTAGTTGCCCTGTGCCACATTACATTTTTCATGGGATAGATATAGCAACTGCTCACAAGATTAATACCTGTTTCTCGAGCAAGATAAATACTGCTGTTAAGAGGGTTTTGATGGAACTAATCAAGACTGGCAAATGGGGAATTTTACAAAGCCATTGGGTTCCACAAAGCAATACTTGCACATGTGGCAAAGAAACGACTGTGTAGAGGGGTGAATATAGCAAACGAAGCTGTAGAGAGGGACAATTGATGAGATATTTGCCTAACTAAACCTAAGCATGATACATACACTAGGTATCTATCTGTATCAACAAAACCTTTTCATTGTCAAAAATTCAGGTGATTGATGGACTGAAAATACTTTGAGTGTCTTGAGATATTATCAAAAATTCTGTATTCCCCCCCCCCCCCCCCCCCACTTAACAAAACAAAAAAAATCCCATTTTCCACCCATTTTTCACCTTTGATAGATTCTGGAAATTTTACAAAATATTCAGGTATTTTTTATGTTTTAATAATAATAATAATAACAATAATCATCTAAATTCCACTCCAAATTTTATAAAGTTAAACCGAAAATGGAAACTCTTTTTGCCCAATTGATCATGAGCCCGGCAGCCACTGACCAGCACCAGATTGACGTTGCTCTATCCCTTATTGTTGAACGCCAAACAAGGAAGCAGGAACTTCATATTTTGCTTAACAAACAGTTTAAGATTGAAAATAGGTGGCTCTCATACAAAAAGCCATAAGCAATTATTTCAAATTAGTCAAAAAATTATTAGGCTAGCTGACATTTAATACCATTGGTGCATTCTGGTGCATTTAGTTCCCAGTAACTTGTCAAAATTTCTTGTTTCAATGTTTTTTGATAATATTTCGCAAAAAGTTTCATTTCAGGATTTCCTTGTCAGGAATATTATTCTGGGGATTAAAATATGATTGAAAGCCTGATTTATGCAAGATCAAATCAAGGAACTAGATACAAAACTGCAATTATCAGTGTTATTTAATCATATTTCCCTGCAAGGCTGAAACCTACTTTTTCATTTTGTGACAAATGTTGTCGTCCTTCATGTACAAACATTAACTTGTTTTTAATGTTTTCTTTTGGTGATCCATAGACCACAGTCGTTAGTTAATGATTTAGTTTCTATTGTCATTGTATTTGTTATTATACTTCCTTTTCTTGTATATTTCTTTGTTATTGTTTTACTCTTTTGTGTAAATGAAATTGAAATAAGATAAAATTAAATAAAAATTAAAATCCATTTGACATATTTGAGCAGACAGAGCTTTTAAGTAACTGAAACAACAGAAACTCAATAGGGTGGAATCACAATTAACAAGCCGCAACGGGCTAATTTTGCAGCTCCCAGGCCAAAATCTTTCAACTAGTGCTGCGCTGCAAAATGCTAGCCATCGATCGAAATGACCCTAATGATCCGAACTGTGTGAATTCATTCAATGAGATTGATTTTTCTGATATCAGCGCACATTTCTATATTGAATTTAGATGTCAAAACCCAACCATTGATTAATTCTGACAAAAAATTGGGCCTGATTTTGGACAAAAATCAACATGGTAATTTATCCAAAAAGTGACTGAAATTACCTTATTTTTTGTTGAGAGAGGTCAATTTGACCAGTTTTTCTAGAATCAAGGCACAATTGTTTTTAGAATATGCCCATCAAATCTCCTTGGCTGATAATGACGATTAGAAAAAATTGCAATTACAAACCCTTGTCAGTCGTAGTGCATACCGGTAACAGTGTACAAAGAGACCATTCAGACTGGATGGTCTAATGTAACCTATAGACTCTGAATTGTAGCTGTTTGATACTGACAGGGCTAGCTAAGCTCTGCTCAAAACTTTATGAAATTATGTTAAACTTAGAGTATGTGCTTCCAGACTACAGGGAAATGCAGGTGTCTGTAATAAAGCAAGTTCATTAAATGTTTTTTAAGATTAGGAAATGAAAATAAGGATTTTGTTTAATTTATGATAAATTACAAGTACACTTTTAGTACTATTTACATCTTTTACGTTAGGCCAAATAACAAAAATAACGTGTTTCTCGTTCGGAGGAGGAAGGGCATTACTATTTACTATTTTGCAATTATTCGCAATCTTTTTTCAAGATGGCTACCACCCTAATTATAGCTGGCCAAGCCTATTTATTCACAGATGATGTGCTATGTGAGTACCTTAATACTGATGCAGTGTATGACGAAACAAATGATTTGTATCAATTTAGAAGCTATTTAAACAAAACATTTATCACAAGCTTTTTTTTTTGGGGGGGGGGGGGGTCTTTTGGGAAGGCTTCTTCTTTCTGAATACTGGTAGTAAATAGTTTTTAAAAAAGGAGGCTGGGGATGAGAAACACGTCATTTTTTGTATTTGGCCTTACACAGATAAGGGATCATACCAGCATAGACTGACTGGTGTGGGTAAAGAATTTCAGTTAATCATTCAGCACTTTTGAAATAATACTAATTCTAACAATTTTTTTGGTGGTTGTAAATAAATACCTTTTGTTTGATTTCTGTATTTTGTTATGTTTTTGTTGTAAAAGTTAACTGGCATAATAAATAAATACTTGGGGGGGGGGGGGTTACTTCATTGAATATTACAATACATTTGTATCATAAATGTGAACAATTTTGGTAAACAAATGCTTTTGTGTTCTAATTCCTGTAAATATCTTCATCTCTTTAATAACACTGTGTATGGTAGCATTTTTATTGGTTTCGGTAAACATATAATTTTCTTCTCTGTAAGTCTTTGTTAGCACTTTTGTTGTAAAAATTTACTGGTGATGGTTGATAAGTATATCTTTCATATTTTTAATTCCTGTAAATATATTATTCCTCTTTTACAACATTTAACCATTTTGGTAAACAAATACTTTTGGGTCAAAGGTACTTTGTCCCTTTTGCAGGCCCAAAAAACGAACTTAGGTTAAATTCCAACGGCATTTGAAAGATAATACTAATTTAGAACTTCCTAAAAAGAGGGGAGCTTGAAAATGTCTTTAAATGGGGAAATTAATGACTATTGGTTGTTGAATCGACTTAGGAGCTATAGAGCCAGTAAGTAATGGTCTGATATTCAGACCACTGTACCGAATGGTGGTACGTTTTATGCTGCATAAAGATTCAATGAGCTTATTTATGGCCATTACAAGAAGTGGGTTATTGATGTAGACAAATGCTCATGTACCCTTTACAGCTCAGTTTATGTATGTTATTACCAAAGAAGAAAAAAAGCCAGTCGGTCTCTCAATAGTGTCTGACAGTGAAGTCTAGCAAGTAAACGGGTTTCCTTGCATAATTTGAATATTAGGACAGTGATAACATTTAAATTTCACAGATAGGACATACAAGACATATTCATAATTCCTGCAAAGTACATAATTTGATGTTGGCTGCAAAAGAGACATAGTATCTTTAAATTCCTGTAAATATGTTGTTTAATCTCTTTTATAATAACACTGTGTACTGTAGCATTGTTATTGGTTTGATAATCATATAATTTTCTTTTATGTACGTCTTTGTGAGAACTTTTGTTGTAAAAATTCAGTGGTGACGGTCGACAAGTATATCTTTCATTGGGTTAATACCTGTAAATATACTATTCCTTTTTACAGCATTACTGGTATGGGTAAAGAAATAACATTCACATTGGTGTTGATTAGTAACAACTAAATTATTCATACCCTCACCAAGGTTTGAAATTGTTAAAGTATGCATGTGGAAAAACGATTTATCCCGATTTGTTGTTTTTTTCGAGAAGGAGACTTCTTACAGGTTACATCTAAAAGTTCTCAACAAAGGACTTAATTCAATCAGTCCACCTTTCAATCTTTAGTCGTAAAAACACAATAAACATCAAATTTACGAGGGGTTTGAATAATCAAGTTTACTGTATCTTTTTAATGTAATTTCTGTCTATATCTTTTAACACTTTTGTACTCGTATAAACTGTAACATTATTAATGGTGTAGGTTAATAAAGTTTATAAATTCTTTTTACAACCATGTATCTTTTTTCAGATTGTTTATTTAAATGTATTGCTTTTCATGATGTGCTATTCTCAATTGTCCATTATCTTTATTCTTCAAAAAAAAAAAAAAAAATCTTTTCTTTCTTTAAACATTTTTAACATGTTTAATCACCTTCAAACCAGTTGGGCAAGGCTATTATATCTCTCTTTTATTTCTCATTCACAGCTCCCTGAAAGACATCTCAATGACAAACCAATTAAGATACACTTTGTTTTCAGAGATCATACACACCTGTGTATACCCATTCCACCATGTAGATTGCAGGATGAAATTGACATGATCGGCTGCCAAAGCAGGAAATACCACACACTTCAAGCAGCTTGCTCAAAATTACATGCGCACTTAAAGGCACACTGTCCTACTTGTAGCTACTTGCTCCCTCTATATAGAAAACTTCCCAAATCGGTGCCTGTTGGTCCCCCATGATCCTCTTTTTCTTATGTTAAATGAGAGCTGAGTTAATGAGATAGCCACCTGTCACAGTGACCTCGGTGGCTCACCGGGTGGTCTAATCCCTTCTAGCTGGAGTAGTAACGCCTCCCTTTAAAGTTTGCATGGTTTGAGGGCAAAGTGATAAGTTCCCATAAATGAACATGCGCCCTCTCTTGATAAGTTACTTCTCAATTTGAAAATGAGATTTTTGTTACGGGTGAAAATGGTCAAGGGTGACTGCCCAATCCCTGCGCAACCATGCATTTTTTTTAAATCTTTGTTTCTTCCCACCATTCCTCTTCCTTCTCTTGTTCCTTTATCTTCCATGTTTTTTTCAATTTCCCTTCTCTCTCACCGTCTTACTCTGAGAAGTACCCATTTTAATCTAAAAAGCGCCCTTTTCTTTTGTGTGAATAGAAATTTACACTTATTACAAAGATGAAAAGGGGCACTCTTTAGAGTAAAATGGGTAATTCTCAGATTCGAATAAGGGCAATTATCATACGCGAGGGGTCGCTTATCAGAGGTTGTAAGGGGCAGAGGTACTTGTGTGAATAGAAATTGACACTTATTACAAAATAAAATGGGCAATTATTGTCATTGGAAAAGCGGCCACTGACTGTTTGAAAGAAGCATTCATCAGATGTGAGAAGGGGGGGGGGGGTTTATGAGAACGGGAAGTGGCTCTCATTAAAAAGAAAGGGGGCATTTATCAGAAAGAAATAGGGCACTTATTAGAAAATGGGGCTCATGTCAAAATAAAAGAAGGCGCTTATCAAAAATGAAAAGGGCACTTGTTAAAGTAAAATGGGCAAATAAGATTTCGATAGGGTCAATAATATCATATTATGATATTATTGAAGGGGGCACTTATCAGAGGTGGTAAACGGCACGTATAAAAATGTGACACTGGAACCTATAGAAATAAAAAGGGGTACTTATCTGAGGTAAAAGGGGGCACATTTCTTATGTAAAAGCACTATAGGGTACTTGAAAAATTGGTGTATTGTGCCCCCCCCCCCCCACGTCCCTGGCTCCGCCGCCTCTGTCCTACCAGTAATAACTCCTTGGAAAGACATATTATATAAATACCACGGCAGTTAGCCCAGATCTTTCCCCAAAAATCTTGCTTTTACACACATATTATTGTAGGACGAGGACACAGAAAGTAGGCCTATACACAAGGGCATAATTATCACCAATAATGAGAGCTACCAGCTAGCATAAAACTATAAAAATCGGGCTCCTGATCAGTGTATGGAGTACCGAATTGCTCACGTCATATTCGCTCGTCGTCCAGGTTACTGGTTCTAAACAACAGAGCCTGTGCATGAGGTTTACCACAAAATCATTCAAACGACGGGTTGCAGCAGGGAAAATTCAGTTTTTGGGATCACCACGCCATTGTTTAGCACAAAATTGTTTGGAACCAGCAACCTTGACAACTTGGCCAGTATGACGTCACACCAGGCGCGGATCCATGGGTGGGGGGGGGGGGGGAGTGGGCCTTGGCCCACCCGCTGCCCCCCACAAAAAAGGGCCAAACAAAAGATTTTTTTTTGGTTAAATTGTGACCCGAAATTTACCCCTTTTTTGCTCAAGGGGGGTGGGATGGGGGGGGGGGGGTGTTTAGCAAAAGATCGGCCGATGCGATTTTCAAATTTTTGGGGGCAAAAAAGAAGACGAAAAATCAGTGCTTACTACCCCAGGTGGCTGGAACAAATGAATGGGAAGTCCAATTCTCGTAATAAGGTCATTTGCATGAAAAGCAGAAAACAGAAAAGAAAAAGCTTTAAATAGATCAGAGCAATAATCAGAAAATTATGAATATTTGAAATACCCCAAAAGTGCCCCTTTTTACATAGGAAAAGTGCCCTTTTACTTTTTAAAACTTCCCCTTTCCCCTTTCCATCTCTGATCAGTGCCCCTTTTATTTTGACACGTACCCCTTTTCCTAGGACAAGTTCACATTTTCCTTTGCAATAAGTGTTCATTTTCCGTTCTCATCAGTGCCTTTTAAAATCTCTAGTAAGTTTCCCTTTTTAGATACAAGAAGTGCCCCTTCCCCTTTTGATAAGTGCTCTTGTCATCTTATATAAATGCCCCTTTTATGTTGACACGTTCCCCTTGTCTATCCTAATAATTATCTTTTTCCTTCTTATAAGTCCCCCTTCCCCTTTTCATAATAACCCCTTTTCATCTTTGATTAGTGCCCCGTTTTGTTTTAACATGTGCCTCTTTTCCTTTTTGATAAGAGCCACTTCCCCCTTCTCATTAAAAACCCCTTTCATCTTCGATAAATGCCCCTATTAAAATCTGATCGGTTCCTCCTTTTCTTTCAAAAAATCCACATTTCCCTTTATCATTAGTGCCCCTTTTTCATTCTCACAAGTGCCCCTTTTCCCTTTCTAAAAGGGAACCTGTCCCTTTTTCATAAATGCCCTCTTTCACTTCTTATAAATAGCCCTATCAAAAAAAAATGCCCATTTCCCATTCTTATAAAATCCCTGTTCATCCCTGGTGCGTGCCTCTTTTTTAGGTGTAAGAAGTGCCCCATTTTCACCTCTGATAATTAACCTAAGTACTTTGACATGTGCTCCTTTTCTTTTCTAATAAGTGTCTAAACCCTTTTGATAAGTGTCCCCTTTTTCTCTCATCATTAAACATGCCCCTAATTTCAAGCGACTAAGAGCAATTTTCCCCAAAAGCTCGCTCGCTACGCTCACTCGTAGTTATAGCCTAGATTTTATAATTATGTTACTTATCAAAGGTCCTTTTAGTCTTCCATTATGAGAATGTGCTTATAACCCCATCAGTATTGGGTTTTTCCTCTGTATATGATGTAATTTTTCGCACTGCTATCTCACAAATCTTAACAATTTTCCTCGCTCGCAAATAAATGTTCAGACCATCATACCCAACTGCAGAGTATGATGCTTAAGTAATATCTTATATGATGTCAAAAGAGAAACAAATATTGAAATCATCCCTGATAATGTAATCACGATATAGGGGTATGTACCAAATGAATGTCTAAAAAATTGTATATTTTCGCTTTGAGAATTTCCCTTTGAAGGTGCCCTTTTTCCAGAAAGTGCCCTTTTTTGTTGGTGCCCCCCCCCCACTTTGGAAGTCGCTCAGCCGCCTCTGATAATAAGTCTTATATAGCTCTATGGGTTCATACACAGTACGTCCTCCCAAGGAGGAATACTAGAGGGACAACTAAAATTTGACCTTTTAGGTTTAGCATTGGAGTTTCGTTCAATTTGAACCTCGTTTTTGAGGGTCATTGTTATTCCTTAAAAATTACGTCAAAAATTCGCAAATTACTTTTTGGTGATTGGCTATTAACCACATGTTTTATGTATCAGATCATGCATAACACTTTGTTCTAATTCCCACAATTCCCTACGATTATATTGTCCACAAGGATCTGCAAAATGGCGGCTGTGTGAACTGTGCGACTTTATAAGTTATTCAAACACAAAAACTGAAACATTTTTCTTTTAAGAGAATTTCTATTCTAATAGAAGTTTATCAAGAGAATCTCAGTGAAGTAGAACATTCTCAGAGGAACATCAACATCGAAGTGAGGCCATAGGATACCAAGACAAGTAAGTAAAGATCCATTTTTTTTTTAAAGATCTCTTTAATTATTGAGATATCTTCGTCGTGCCAGTCACTGGGCTCTCTGCATTGTTGCAACGGTATAATACCCCCTAACTTCCCAAGGCCCTATTCCATCCTTTAATTTTATTTGTCTGACCAAAGAACTGATTAACTGATTGAATAAACGCTAATTTAAGTCGTCGACAGTACTATTTCTAGAAACAATTAGAAGTTTACCGTATATTATTTCAATCGGACAATTCTCATACTTTTAAAGTTCAGTTCATAGCTTGATTATCGACACTAATCAGTGGTAGATGTGGACATGTTAGAGTTAGTGTTACAGAGACAGCACAAATATCTCATTGCAAGTCCAATCCGATTTCATCATTGGAAAGAGGGTCAGGATTGAAGATGAGCATTGAAACCAACCACTTGTTTGTCTCAAGGAAGGGAAGTGTTTTGAAAGGTGGAAAGCAGAGTAGGGGGGGGGGGGGGCAATGTCACCAAATCAGTGGCCTCTAGTGCAAAATTGAACAGAAAGAGGGGAAATTGAAAAATTCCATGGGAGCTAGAAGGGACACATTATTACAAATCGATGAAGACGAGGGGAGAAAGATTAATCATTTGGGTACTAAAAATACGAGAATGGCATATGTTAAATGGGCTAAATGAACCGCAGAATATGACTGATAACCATTAATTACAAAGGAAATTAGTGGTGACACTGGTGACTGAAGTTTCTGGCCCCAATGTTTACCCCCCCCCCCCCCCCCCTCCCAACCAGACAGAGACAAAATGGTGCCTGGACGGTTACGCCTGATTGATTTCGGAAAACGTAGAGTCGATGACCTTAATTTGATGCCGGAGATTATGCCTATGAACAGGTTTCTAACAAATAATATTAAAAAGAATAATGCAAATGAAAACAAGGCTTTGACGGAAGACATTAATACAAAAAAGCTACGTGCACATTTTGTTGAAGGCACAAACCCTGCATGGTCATTCGTTCGTGTGTAGCACTGTTGGATTCTGATGACTGCCATGTCTAATGGACACCTAATAAGCTCTGTAATTTAGCTGCTAGAAACCGCGTCCCCCAAACAAAATATTTATAATTTTTAAAAAATAGAATAAAAATAAATAAATAAATAAATAAATAAATAACAAAAATCAAGCGTTTCATTTCACAAATAGAATAAAATTATCATCTTCATTTGTCTACAAAATGTATAAAAACAATGTAATCAAATTCTGCTTGAGACATTCATAAAATTGTATACAAGCATTTATTGGTCCAATTGTGACATCATATATATATATATACAATAATTCTTTAATACAAATTGCTTTACACAATTAAATGCTTACAAATACTTTGATCATTGAATTGGAACATCAAGGATGAAAAACGCACAAAATGTACACTTTTGTCATTATTGCTATATTCTGTTTTTTTCTATCAATAGAATTGCATATTTATCTTCATAAATAAATCATTTAAAAATGTGCCTTGTAAAAGAAGATAGATAGATTTTTCAATTAAAATGCACTTCAATTGTATAAAAAGACAAACATTTATTTTTAAATTAGATGACTTCAAAAATGAAAGAAATTTCAATCACCATTTGTAGAGGCGGGTTTTTCCTTCCTATATCAATCAAAGAATGACTTAACAATTGTGTTATCAGTTCTGCTATAAATAAAGTATCTTTATCACCATCCCAACAAATCATTAAATGACCCTCACAGAAACATTATTCAATATCAAAACTGTTTCCTCTCCAAATACAGACATTTCCATATATACAAACATCATAATATGAGATGTCAACTCAGCTGTACAGCAAAAATAATATACAGTATTACAAATGATTAACGAGCTGGCATTCCCTTAATAACAAGGGGTACAGTACAAGTCAATTTACTGTTTAGAAAATACAGTTAAAATGAATACATTTACTGTCGGATATGAAAATAATTATACTGAATTTTATTCTACAAGGTAATGAGCATAATTTTTGTTTTTACCCGAGGATGGTTGAAGGTGAAATATGGTTTTAATAAAAGCAGAGAAAAATAGAGAAACAAAAACAGAGAAGTACAAGTGATAGCAAAATCCGATTGAAAATAAGAACATTTTTTTTATATGGATTTTTGAAGTTGCAATTGATCAAACACTAACTGACAACTCTGTGGCAAAGATTGAGCGGTCCACTGCTATTTGCATTGCGGGTTAAATGAATCTCCATTTTCTCCAAAGCAAATTTTCAATCACACATGTACCTTACATAATTTTTTACACAACTCCTGCATGAAAAGAATATATTCCTTCATCAATTACTAAGTAAATATGTGTTTCATTGATTACAGCTTTATTATTTTCAATTGGATTTTGCACAAACTTTCACCGAACATAAAACCAAATAAATAGCATCATTGACTTCCTCTTTAATGTTTGAAGAAACTAAGGTATTCAAATCAAATTTTCAATTCAAAGACATGCATATACCATAAATTATAGAACATGTTTTCAAATGAATAACTTTGTTAATACCTCCACAAATGCCTCTGTCCATTTCCTTCAGTTCAATAATTAATACCATAAATGAAATTACTGTTTACTAATCTTGAAAACTTAGAAACTGTAGTAATACATAACCATATATCATTGCTTGCCTAAATGTTGGAACATCTGGGTAAATAGGAATTAAACTTAGAAAAAGTGATTTAATATATTTTTTGTCCTAGGAAGGATACAGATCCTCTTCATTTTCCTTTCATAATGATCAATAAAACAATGAAAAGGACCTAGTATCTTTTTGGGGAAAATATATTAGGTAAACTATAAAACTTTTCAAATTCCTGCTTCCTACAGTATATCTACCTCGGTTCCTGTGAGACTTTTCATTTCTTACGGTGGAACATTTTAAGGGCACATGAAATTTTACTAAAGACTTTAAAGACTTTCAAAATGTCCATTCACAGACATTTTTTCAAGCAAGAAACTGTTTTGAATTTCATGCATGTTTTACAAGAGTAAAAAATTAATGCCACAAAAAAATGGAATAGAAAAACAGATTGTTGTGACTCACAAATGCTTCAGGCCTATGAATGGTACTCCAAAATTGAAGAATAGCAACATATACAGACATGCCCATGCTTTTCGTCTTGCACCCATCAGAGTAAATCACTTTGCATGCAAGACGCAAAGTTTTATAGTATGTCTGTATATGTTGCTATTCTTCAAAAACCTATCTCTAAATGTTTGCAAAAAGTTTCTGGTTTTAGGGGACAAAACGAATTGGAAAGGTATCAACAGGATATATATTTTCCAGAGTTTTTTTTCCTGTTCCCATCATCGTGTGTTATTCCATTGTTGTCTTCATCAGATAACATCCCTACAAGGTGGAGGACAAAAAAGCAACAAAAATAATGAAGATCTGTAAAAAAAAAAAAAAAAAAAAAAAAGAGAGAAAGGAATTTTTTTTGCATCCTCTCAATACATTACCCTTTGCAACAGTCGAACTTGAAAATTAATGATTTGCTTTAGAGAGAGAGCTTTAAAGTGACAGTAAGGATGTAAAAAAAAAAAAAATTGAGAAATTATATTTTCATGGATGCATTATTTTATGAAAGTACTTGCTATTAAAACTCATATTTTTGTGGGAGAATTAAAGAAAAAGGAGGTTTAATTAACTATCTCAAAAGTTCTCTAAAGGGTTGCAAATAAGAGCTACAAAATTACATGTACTTTAAGGGCATCTCTACACAACATTTCTGATGAACATGTTACAGGGTATTTCAGGCTCAGTAACCCTGTACTTCCACTGCTGGAAGTTACGGCAAGACAATATTTTAGAGCCTCCTTAGATGCTAGCAGTCCATCTTAAATATCGTGAAGAAGATCCTCTATGAATTTGCATGTTGACAGACCTATTAATTTGTCTTAGCCTAGGAAATAAGTAAAGCTCTGCCAAATCTTAATTGAGAGGGATAATAATGTAATAATAATAATAATGTAATCATAAAATCCGAAGGAAACTTTGTTCTGAAATATTTTAGAATGAATATACCAATCATCACTAGCATTTGAAAAACACTGTAAACAAATACTTAAGTATGTGAGGGGGAGACGTAAGCCAAGTAGCCATGTGATATGCAATGTATACTACATGCTTTACCATTACATCATGTTACATGGCGGTGAGTGATGAAATAGTTACTAGGTTAGGTACATGCATATAGCAAGGGGCTTATTCAAGATTTTGTGAATGGGGAGGGGGTCCGCAAATTACAAGTAAAACATAGAAAAAGAAAGGAACAAAGAATGTAATCAAGCATAAAAAGAGGGTTCCAATTTTCAAATAATATCTGAGAGGTATAACAAAAAAAGGGGGAGGGGGTCCCAAGTCTCAACTCCCTATAGCGCCCCTCCTGATCCACCCTAGTATAGATATATATCATACCAAAGGCTAATATTCCAGCAGCATGTATCCCATGGGCAATATGAATCCTATTCTGAACCAAAATATATAAAATAAACAAGTCCTTTACACCATGTCTTAGTAGTAAGTTTGGTATCTGTATTGAATGAGGATTAAACAGTTAATGATAGTCACAAAATACCCAAAATATATACTTTGAAATGAAATCATTTCTAACATAAATATGACAACATTTACTTCTTTAAGAGTTGTGACAATACTTCTGTTGAAAGCTGCTTGATAATGCTCTCCGAGTCAATTTAAATCAAATATTTAAGAGCGTGAGCAGCCTTCAATATTTTATTTTCATCACGAAATTTACACCAAACGTGATATCCATTCCAATATATTGATCCTAATCTCCATCGAGCTCTTCATCTCATGTTCCCTAAGCTTCTGCATTTCTTCCTAACACTCTTTATTTGTAAAGAATATCCACCATAATAAATTAATTCTATAACACAATAAAAAAACTTTTCAACATATTAAAAAACACAAAACAATTAATATTAAGTGTTCCATATTCCAACTATCATTTAATATTCTTCTTCTTTCCCCCCCCCCCTTTTTTTTTCTTCTTACTGTTCAGCAGACGTTAGACCTTATAAATATTTGAATTTAAATATATTACTGACATAAGTCTTCCTCGTTGAAAAAAAATGATCAATGAAACACAAAGTATTATTTGATCGCCATTTCTTGATCAATGGGGATAACCTTAATGTTGCATTTCTACATGCATTCATGCTACATATCTTAAAGAATGTGAATGGGTTGCTGAAAAATAGATATACTGAAAACGAATGAAGTCAGATATAGCATTTCTATCCAATGGCACCTTTTATACTGTGGTCTGAACAATTAAGACAAATCAAAAGCACCAGAGATATTGAAAGTAGTTTTACTGTGGTTAAACTAAACCTGTCATGTGTCAAAAACATGTACAGTATGTGCTATTTTCTTTTCTAATTTTCATGTATGCAGCCCTCTATTTCATTTCAACACAGAAACACTCATCACACCAACAGCTATTCTTCAGGACATACAGAAGTACATTATTTTGTAATCACACATCTTGAAGTAACCTAAACACACACCCACTTGCGTTCTCTCCTGGGTATGGAGTGGCAAAAGGAGCATTAAGGTTACTGCTGAATTGCAAACCTAGGTAATTTGATCTAATCCATGACATTTATAACAGTTGAAGGTAAAATACACATCGATTCTAGTGGTGCAACATATAAAGAATATTAGTTCACATAACTCAACCTGTGAACAAAACTTCGGTTGAAAAAGTAAATCTCTCTAAAAGCTCATTCAAATATGAAGAGGTGAGAACAACATTTTTTTTTTGTAAATGAATTGCAACTGCTACAAAGGTCCTACAGGTATGTGTACTCACTCAGACGGAAATCTCTTTTATGGATATTACCCTTACGTGATTTTGTCATCATAAAAAACTATTATTTACGGCTTCATATCTGAACAAAATATAAATGTTAAATGGTACATCAAAATGCAACATCATTATCACTTGTGTTTGTAGAGATCACTGTGAAGTGCTAAATGATGTTAGTCCTCAAAGTAAAACAAGAGACCCATCTTGATTCTTTTCTGGAGATTCACAGATGGTGAAACAACAGATGACACAAAGACAACATCGAGATGAACAGATTGAGATGGAAGTTAGTCAAGAGTTGTTGCAGAGCAAGACAGCGAGCGGTGCTTGGGTGAGTGATGAAATCGTTAGTTGACAGAGGGTTACCGGGTACACATTGGACAACGCTGGGAGGAGGAAACCACCAGTGATGCAGTCCAGACCCGGGGTTCCAGATGGAGAGACCAGGATGTAAACCTTTGGTTAAGACCGTTCAGCGCAAGGTCTACTGGTACTCTTCCTTTTCTCTCTCTCTTCCTCTATCCTTCTCTCTCATTTTCTCTTACTCTCTCTCTCTCTCTCTTTCTCTCCCCCTCTCTCTCTCTCCATGTATCAATGTCTCTCCCCTATCCTTCTCTCTTCCATTCTCTTGCTCTATCTCCCGCTTCTAGCTCATATTCTCTCTCTTTCCCTCCGTTCCCATCTCTAGTCTGTGAGATCCAGGACCCCAAAGTGAGATCGGTCTGGACTGCATTACTGGCACACACCGATTAAGACGAAGACGATGACGTTATGATGGAGACGGTGGTAGTGCTAAAGCGAGCCTGGGTGAGGCTGAATGAACACCGTTCAGGCTATCGCTGTGACAACATTGTTTGCATGGTCCTTACTATCACTGCTGAGTTGATCACTGATGGCCGACCCTGATCCATAGAGGGGCATCACCTCCCCCTTCTCAATCCGCGAATCCCTTGAGATGGGTATCCTAAGAAGGTCACTCACAAAGACCGCCTTGAAAAAAAGAAATGAGAAAAACTCTTTAATGTGCACTTAAATTGAATTGAATTGAATTATTATTGTCATGCACAAATAAAATGAAGGCATAAAAATCGTCTTGCACCTCACATTTGTATAAAATATAACAGTACATTAACATATCATAAATAAATAACTACAAACAACATAACAATATAATATGAATAAATTCAATCTCTCTGTTGAGAGCCAGAGGAGTTATTTGAATTATTTGCACTCCCCTGGCTCTCAACATACAATACTAACCTAAATATATTCTAGAAAAATGTTCATGACAACAATCAATGACATATAAATAAATAGAACAAATTGATAATCACAGCCAAGATCTAAAATCAATTATTCATCAATTATTAAACATTTCAGATAAAAAATGTATATTTCTGGTAGCAGACGTAAACTAACCGTACATCATACTGATGTCAAAGAGAAGAGACAAGAGAGAAAGAGTACTTAAAGTGTACCATACCACACACAAACAAAAATTGCTCTGTAGGCTAAGGTTTCCATGGAACTTTTCTGTATTCAAAATATGTGCTTCAAATAGTACTTGTGGAAAGACTCTCAATTAACAAAGAAGCAACTACTCCACACACTCATACATAATCACTTATAAAAGGGCATTTTGAATAGATTTTTACAAACTCATAACTTTCTCTTTGTTTGACCAATCTGATTTTCTTATTTTCCTGCTCCAATCACACATGAAAGAGTAACTTGAACAAAAGACTTCAAATGAAGGTAACATACCACCAAGATGGCTACTACTAGACCCAGGATACTGCCAGCGAAGACATCGCTCCAGTGATGCTTGTAGTCCGATACTCTAGAAAGACCAACCAAGATGGCCGCCAGGGCACCGGCTAACTGCAGGAAAGGCCTGAGAAGGGTATCTCCAAATACTTCTGGTATCATTCGTGCTTGAAGATAAATCTGAAATGATTAGACATACTTATAAATGATAATCATTGATACCGGGAATTTGTTTCATTATCTTGATTTCGTAGAGGCAGGGGTGAAATCTGTCAATTACTTTTACTTCTGTCAAGCATTTAAAAATATTATTTAGTCAATTGCTATATAGAATAGAAATAAAAGTAATACAAACTAATTAAAATTAAACACATTGTAAAACAATTTAGTTTTTTTAATAATATTTCTACTTTCTGAAAGGCTGTAAATATTAGCAGATTCTAAGGCATTTACAAAACAGCAACTTGAAAATGTGATTTGTGTTTTATATTTAAGCATGACAATGACTGGCAAAAAAAATCTGAAAATTTGTATTTTCTCATCCTCATTCATGCATTCATTCCCTTCCCCAATATTCTTCAAATATGTATCAGCTTAATATAAACTTTGCATATTGGATGTGATTCAAAGGTGGTAGTAGAAATCAGGTTGTATTGTGCTTCCCTGGAAGTGGGAATTCCCACTTGCTTCTGCAGGTTGTTTTTCTTATTTCTTACTTGCATGCACTGGCTTTCTCTCTCTCTCTCTTTCCCTTTCATGATGCTCTAACTCGTTATAACAGTTCATGAACGGTTCTTTCGTTTCAGTTATCTTGCTCCTGACTGAGTATAAAGATTAAGATTGTCATTTCTCTGGAAGGTCTTTCTGGGCCTTACATGATTTACACTCTATCAGAGAATTTGAAGTCATACACTGGAACACAATATAATTCAACTGATTTGAAGGTAAGATTTGTCATGTGAATGAATTAGCATTTATACATATTTGTCATGTGAATCAGCATTTAATCATTAACCAATATTCTTCAAATATGTATCAGCAAAATAAATATTATGTTATAAATTCAGTATTGGATGTATCAGGTTCTAAAGTGCTCCCTCGGGAGTGGGAATTCCCACTGGCCTTGTTTTCTTTTTTTAAGTGTGTTTCTATTCACCTCCTCTAAATGCTGTTTTTCGATTTTTCAATGCAATAAAACACTTGTTTTGTTTTTTACTATTTCTCTCTCGCATGCTCTCACTTCCTCTCTCTCTCTCTCCCTTTTATGATACTCTAATACGTTACAAGTTACAACAATCAATTTGTTGCATACATTATGTGATTGGTGAGTTAAAGATAAAGACCAGTTATGGTCATGCGATTGCATTGTGAAAGAAACGTTGTGGTGGAATCGATCAGAAAAGGTTGATCATCTAGCATATAAGTTTTGGTGTGTACTGCAAGGTTCTGGAATCATCAAAATGATAAGAAATTTGGCCCAGTATTCGTAAAGTTATAAGCACTGTACACAGAAAGATGTATATGGGACTACGCACACGTGCGTTTATCTCTCACATGCTAATAGATAAACTAATTTACCAAATATATCAATTAGTAGGCGGTTTCCCGGCAAAATTTTTATCATCATGTATTAGTCAACACATATTCTTTCACATGATTGGTAATAAGAGCTTCCATTTCATTTTTTTGAAATAGGGGCATTTCCAATACTGGTCTTTACCTTTAAGGGAATAACAATCTTAGTCAGTCAGGGCCCGGCCCCCCCACTCAGTGTTATTTAGGGTACGCATATGCGTGTTCCAACCGACCCCCCCTTTTCAGCAAATGTCCGGTGTGTAAAGTCAATACGGCTCGACCTTTTTCTTTTGTATACAAGCCTTTTTCAGCATCCCCCCCTTTTCAGCAAAAGTCCGGTGTGTAAAGTCAATACGGCTCGACCTTTTTCTTTTGTTACGAAAAGGACATTTTGGCAACACGCATGCGGTCATTTTGAAACCTGAGTGGGGGGGCCGGGAGTCAGGGGCAAAAAACTGAAATGAAAAAACCGTTCATGAACTTTGGTTTTATGATAATCCATAACCATCCAATCACGAATGCGTATTTTGGTCATGGATATGTTATTTAATCAAAGTTCATGAACAGTTCTTTCATTTCAGTCATCTTGCTCCTGACCGAGTTTAAAGATTGTCATTTTCTTTGGAGGATCTTTCTGGGCCTTACCTGATTTACACTCCATCATAGAAGTCATAGACTGGAACACATTATAATTCAACTGATTTGAAGGTAAGATTTGTCATGTGAATGAATCGACATTTATACATATTTTCTCCAAAAGGCTCGTCTGTTATCAAAGCAACGGCTAAACTGCATTCGTTCACTCCATCAATATTCTTCAAATACATTTCAGCTTCATTATTCTATAACTTCCGCATTGGACGTGATACAACGGTGGTAGTAGAAATCAGATTCTATTGTGCTTCCCTCAGGAGTGGAAATTCCCACTGGCCTTGGTTTTAGGTGATCTGTTTGATTTGTTTTATTGTGTTTTTAATCACCTCCTCTATAGGTTGTTCATATTTTGCTCAATGCTGTAAAACATATGTTGTTTTTCCTATTGTTCTCTATTCCTTTCATGATGCTCTAACACGTTATATCAATCAATTCGTTGTTATAATTATTTTCAACCTACCGATAACGTGTGCGTATTTGGGTAATGTATATATGTCATATTAACACAGTTCATGAACGGTTCTTTCATTTCAGTTATCTTGCTCCTGACCGAGTATAAAGATTGTCAATTCTTTGGAGGATCTTTCTGGGCATCACATGATTTACACTACATCAGAGGATTTGAAGTCATAGACTGGGACACATTATAATTCAACTAATTTGAAGGTAATTAGATTCATGTGAATCAGCATTAAATTTGTTTTCCTACTTTCCGAAAGGTTAATTACGATAGGCAGAATTCATGGCACTTACAAAGAGCAACTTGAAAATGTGAATGTTGTTTTAGATTAAAACATCCACAAAATTTGATAAAATTTTACTTTATGCATCTATGTACATTCACTCTCTCTACCAATATTCTTCAAATATATATCAGCTACTTTATGATATAACTTCAGCATTGAACGTGATTCAAAGGTGGTAGTAGAAATCTGGTTTTAGTGTACTTCCCTAGAAGTGGGAATTCCCTCTGGTCTTAATTCTGTTTGTTGTTTTCCTATTTCTCTCTCGCAAGCCCTGGCTTTCTCTCTCTCTCTTCCTTCCGTGATGCTCTAAAACGTTATAACAGTTCGTGAATGGTTCTTTTATTTCAGTTATCTTGCTCCTGACCGGACTGAGAATCAAGATTGTCATTTTCTTTGAAAGGTTTTTCTGAGCATCACAAGATTTACACTCTATCAGAGAATTTGAAGTCATAGACTGAAACACATTATAATCCAACTCAGGCTGATTTGAAGGTAAGATTTGTCATGTGCATCAGCATTAAATCAGCTTTTTTCTAATACGTTTCAAGAAAATGTTCTGACAATACAAATTAATAAGACCCTGCAAAGGTCCCTGCGGTGTATGTGAACGCCTCGTGGTTAAACAAAAATTTAAGTTTACTTGAAGTTACAAATCAAGAGTGATCATAATGTTAGCACAATAACTAATAGCAGAGCGGGGGGGGGGGGGGGGGGGGGGGGGGGGGGGGGGGGGGGTCCTAACTCAAGGTTGTGTGCTATGCTGAAACAATCAATTTTTAGCTTTGCCAGCTTGTAGTTAAAGATAAAGGTGAGTTCTGGTTTAAAAAAAAAAAGTGAATTCTCACAGAATCAAACGAAACTTACACTGAATGTTCAAGATTATAAATAAATGTCATTTGCCAAACAATTTTGGAAGAAAATATATACTGGCTGATCGAGTAATGAGCATAGAAAGATTAGGAAATCAAGGTTGGTAGCCCCCGACACCATCTGTGTAGACCCATATACATCTTTCTGTGTACAGTGCTTGTTACTTTACCAAGACTGGGCCAAATTTATAATGATTTTGAATTGTTGATGACTCCAGAACTTTGCATTACACACCAATACTTACATGCTACATGATCAACCTTTTTCGGATCCATTCCACACGTTTTCATTCACAATACAATTGGATGACCAGAACTCACCTTTATCTTTAAAATGAATGCTTTCCCTGCCTTTAGTTTGAAACTTTGAACACTTTTTGTTTCGGTCTTGTCGATTGTTGTTTATAAAGTTTAGCAAAAACTTCAGGTTTAAAACTGCGACTGAATTGTGTGAAGAGAGCTACTATACGGTAATTCAAAAAGGGATACTTACAACCCAGTATGCGAAAAAGTAGAACGCAGAAGACGCGTGTCCTGATGGAAATGATAATCTGGAAAGAAAGGAAAGGAAAAAATTGTAAATATGGAATGTGTTGGAGGATTAACATACCACCTTTATCATACAAAGTTTTAATGTGCACAAAATGCAGAATAGGGATTATATTCCATGTAAGGATTTACATAATTTTCCTCACTATCATAACTACTAGTTTTATGCAACTACAAATCATTATGAACTGAATTTTGGAAATTCATAACAGTGGCCATTTTTGAGGAAGGGAACTATTGCAAATGCCACAAATGCTTTGTTGACTTTCACCAAGTTGTGTCATGATATTTTGGAGAATCTCGACAACTCATGTAGTTCATAAAAGCCAAATGCTCAAATATACAAGCATAACTCTCCAATCAAGGGCTGACATGTACTTCGAATCATCAGGTTATCAGGTAGTCGTGATCAAACTTTTGTGAAAACATGCCCCTTATAGTCACGAAATGTCAGGGGTAATGTTTGTGACAAATGGTCTGGTCTAATTTACCTGACTCTCTAAAGAAAATCCTACAGCAAATCTACGAAAAGTCGCATCATCTTCTGTTTTCGTTTCACAAAAGGTCAGGTAACGCGTCCGGACGTGATGACGTGATGATTCGAAGTAAGCCCTAATTAAGGACAATCTGAAACAAGTTTATAATGTTTTCAATTCCTCAGCGATATGGCAGGCCAAGAACCATTCATGGGTCAACAGTTACACTGCATTTCTTTGAACAGTCAAATGTTAGACAAGGAATTACCACGATCCAAGCGTAACTGTCACCTGGTGGAGATTTTTGCAACACAGAGAATTGATATTGCTGCAAGATCAATACAATCAAGGAGATCAGAACTGGCAATGTATCTTCCTTCCTTTCAATTTTCCATTTCTTCAAAGACAGGAAGTTTGGGGGCACACAAGAAATTGCTCATGCAGAATTTAGGAGAGAGAGTTTCTCTAGGTGAACTCCAGGATTATGCCAAACAGGTAACTAAAAGAAAAACTCAGTGGGTTTGGGCTCCTCAAAATCGTTTAGCTTACTGGAAGGACAAAGCAATACATGGATATGATGTAATAGAAGTCTTCCAAGATATACATGTAAGCCAGGGAGCTAGAGGGAGACTTGTGAGAGGAAGGGAAGGACAAAGACCTCCCAATAATACAGGGCCCGCAGAACGGCATCCGGGCTTGGCACGGAGCGGCTTGGCTCGGGGGTCTCGAGACCCCCCACCTTTGTGAAAAAGTATGTTAAAAACTTACATTGGAACGCATATCAAAGGCCTAATATACAAGGGTCCCTCTAGGTCAAAAAACTTGGGGGCCCCTAGGGACCCCTGAGCTGGCAGAACAAACAAAAATGGGGGGGGGGGTTCCCAAGCAAATATTGAGGGGCCTAATTAAGGCCCCGGCAAAAAACTCAATTTTTTTTTTTTCAAGCTAAATGCGAGACCACATTTACTTAAGAGCGCAATTTAGTGAAAAAGCCAATGCGAGAAGTAAAAACATGAAACCATCGTCAAGCATGTCAGCAAAGTTTCTGAATTCAATAGTATGTGGATTTATAACATCAGTTCCGTAAAAGCAATCGTAAAAGCCTAATTTGTTCAGAATATTACACTTTTATCGCCAGAATCGGTAAAAACACTCCTTTCAGTTATACAGGTGCGCAGAAGATACGAACTGTCAATCAAAATTTTCATTTATTAGCGTCATAGATGGGTCGTTACTGTGTTACACTATATGGACAGATTGGGTAGATATGTAAATAATTGAAATTATTATCAGTTATTGATGCGAAAATGATTCTTCTCCAGCTTCCGGAAACACACCTGGCAATTTTTGTGGTGTCTCCTCACTACAAAATTTGTGCATGAGATACAGGTTTTGGTTAGTCCGGGACGCAAAAACCCAACTTAGTACAAGTTACCCTTGCCTATTTATATTGCTCTACAAAACCAATCTGCCACAAACTTTAAAAATATATGAGAGGAAGAGGTGATATGGTACTTGCTTGTATTACATTATAAACAGAAATTTATTTTTCACCTATGAAATTTTCTAATCTTTAGCAAGTGTCTCATTTGAATTAAATATTGCTTCAGACCATGATTTACGTCATTATACAAAAATATAGTGACCTGCCAGAGTCACAAATAAGGTATCAAAATATGCTCATCTGACCGTAATAAAATGCCTAATTCAATTTGACCACTAGCATCAGGGCACATTTGTACCGGCACATAGAATAGGCGCGTCAAATCTCCTTTGCTGATAACAATAATTAGAAAATTACCCCTGACCAAAATTATAGTAATAATGGTCAAGAGGCCAAAATGATCAAAACATCATGACAAGGACTAACAAGACTGATATTTTTTTAATTACCGTAGCACAAAATTTACCCTGGTAAGCTTTTCAAACCATCCCACCAAAATTCTGATTAAATCACCTTATAGCTAGCTCCTAGGGTACTACCTTATAAAAGTGCCACAGCTAAAACTTTTGTCAACTTTTTTCACATAATGCATCACATGAAATTGACTAAACACTGATGTCGCTAGACAGCGATTTGTAAATCCACTGTATTGATATGTACAGGGGAATTAGTTTGCGGGCACAAACCTGTATCAGTTGTAGTTTGTAACAGTGTATGAACTGAGAGACTATTCAGACTCCAAGGTCTAATGAACCCCATAGGCTCTGTACTGTAGCATGGCTAGCTAAGCTCTGCTCGAGACTTAATGGAATTATGTTTAAGTGTCAAATTAGAGTCTGTGCTCACAGACTACAGGGAAATGCAGGTGTGTGTAACAAAGCAAGTTCATTGAATATTTCTTATGATTACGCTATGAAAATAAGAATACAGAATTTTGTGTAATTAACCGTCTGATAAATTACAAGTACATTTTCAGTACTTTTTACATCTATCATTTCATAAAAAGATGGGATCATACCAGTACTAACTGGTGTGTAAAGGAATTCAGTAACTTCAGTAAATTTTTCAGCACTTTTGTAATAATACAAATTGTAACAATGTTATTGGTGGTGGTAACAAATACCTTTTGTTTGAACTCTGTATTTTTCAATATGTTTTTGTTGTAAAAGTTTACTGGCATAATGAATAAATAATGGGAGCGGGGTTATTTCATTAGATATTACAAAGCATTTGTATCATACATTTTAACAATTTTGGTAAACAAATACTCTTGTGTTTAATTCCTGTATATTTGTTTTCTCTTTTATAAAACTGTGTACAGAAGCATTGTTATTGGTTTGGTAAACATAACATTTTCTTTTCTGAAAGTCTGCATGAGCACTTTTGTTGTAAAGTTTACAGGTGACGGTTGACAACTATTAAGTATATCTTTCATATTTTTAATTCTTGTAAATATATTATTCCTCTTTTACAACATTTAACAATTTTGATAAACAAATGCTTTTGTGTTTAATTCCTGTAAATATCTTTATCACTTTTATAACACTGGGTACAGTAGCATTGTTATTGGTTCGGTAAATATTACTTTTTCTTTTCTGTAAGTCTTTGTGACCACTTTTGTTGTAAAATTTTAGTGGTGATGGTTAACAAATATATCTTTCATTTTTGTAATACCTGTTAATATATTATTCCTCCGTAACAACATTACCAGTATGGGTAAAGAAATAACATTCTTATTGGTGTTGATTAACATATACAGTAACAACTAAATTTGTCATACCCTTCCAAGTTTTGACATTTTTAAAGTATGTATGTGGAAAATCAATTTCTCCCGACATAAAAGTTTCGAGAATGAAAAGAGAAAAGAGGACCTAATTCATTCAATCAGTCCATCTTTCATTCTTGAGTCATAAAAAAAAAAGAAACAAAAACATCAAATCTACAAGGGGTATAAAACGGATGAATGATTAAGATATCTGTGTCTTATTTTTTTTTTTTTTTTTTTAATATATCTGTGTCTTATTAATGTAATTTCTGTCTATATATTTTAACACTTCTGTACTAGTATAAACTGTAACATTAATAATGGTGTTGGTAAATAAATACAATTTTGTAAAATTTCTTTGAGTATTTTAAATACTTTAAACAACCATGTATGTTTCAGCTTGTTTATTAAAAACAAAATCTGCTTACAGATCTTTTTTTTTATGTTAATAGCACATCAATTGTCCATTATGTTAATTCTTCAAAACGTTGATTATTCAAAATGTCTTTTCTTTTTCTTGTAACCTTTTTAACATGTTATTAAATCTCCTTTATATCAGTTTTATTTCTCATTCACAACTCTCTGGAAGTCATCTCAATGACAAACCAATCAATCTTCTTTATAGATATCATTATACCCATTTCATCATGTAGATTGCAGGATGAAATTGATGTGATCTGCTGTTACAGCAGAAATACCACACATTTCAATCAGCATTAGATTTTAGGGCAAAGTGATCAGTTCCCAATAATGAACAAGCGCCCTCTCTTGAGAAGGTACTTCTCAGTTTAAAAATGAGACTTTTGTTGCAAAATTTGTCTCCATGGTGGTGAAAATGATCGAGGGTGACTGCCCAATCCTTGCACACTCATGCAGTTTTCTATCTTTGTTTCTTTCCGCCATTCCTCTTCCTTCCCTTGTTCCTTTATCTTCCATGTATTTTTCATTTCCCTTCTCTTATGTTCATATTCATATTCATATATTTATTTCATTTCCAACAGAAAGGTAAACAAAGATATTACATTTGATTTCATACATAATTCACTTTTTCAAGAAACTATACAAATAAACTTTGCACATAATAAAATTATTACAAGAATTTCTTAATTTCTGAGGAAATGGGGGGATCCACTAAAAAGCAGTGCTTGTAGGTTGTGGATCCCCCAGAAAAAAATAAAAATATAAATGTTTCAAATTTTGCCTACGAAGACTTAGAAAACACAAGACAATATTTCAAAACAACATACAATTTACAAACACGAAACGAACAAGGAGAAGTAAAACAGATAAGAAGGAAAGGGGAAAAGGGGGAAGAAGGAGAAAGAAGAAGAAGCAGGACGAATCATGACTGGAAAAAGTAAGTTATAATGATAATTTTGGGAAGGTAAGATCATAAGACCAAATAAATATTAAATTAATCGAGCAGATGATGAAGACCTAAATGAAAAATGAAGATGATTACCAACTGTTATCAGATTATTCTTGTATATTACTATAAGATTTGAGCAAAAATGTTTTTAGATTTTTCTTGAAAGAATTTAGGAATGGACTATTTTTAATACTTTCACTTAGAGAATTCCAAAATCTAGGACCATCATACATAAAAGACTTCTTCGCTAATAAAGTTCTAAAGAGTGGTAGGTGAAACTCGTTTGACCGTCTAGTTGGGTAATCATGAAATGACCTATTTAGGGGGAACATGGCATCAAATATATGTGGAAGGGTCTTTTTTGAATACTTATACATAAATTGTCCTAAGTGAAGTAGATACAGGTCATTTGTTTTTAATAGTCTGCCATTAACGAATAACGGGTCTGTGTGTGAGAGTGGAGCAGAATGGTAAATAATACGGAGAGACTTCTTTTGTAATAATAGCAGTCTATTTAATAGAGTTCGGTCTCACCCTCTCTTTCCCTTCTCTCTTCATCAATTGTGATTTGCCCCCTCCTTTCTCTTTCTCTCCCCTTTTTTTCTCTCTTCCTCTCTCTCTCTCTCTCTCTCCCTCTTTCTCCAATTCTTGATCTGTCCCTTTTTATCTTCAAGTTTCAATAAACCATGATTTCAGCTTGTTAAGTTATTGCCTGGTTAATATGATTATTTACAGGTACATATAAATGTGAAGACTAGGTACTACATGTAGGTACCAAGATACTGAATCCACATGTCATTGTGAGAGAAGGAGAGAGAGAGAGAGAGAGAGAGAGAGAGGGGTATTTGAATTAAGTCAGTGTTAATAGGTTGACAAAAAACCTGAAGATAGAACTATGTCACATACTGTAAACGCTGTTATTTTCGCGCTGAGCGACCCCAAAATATATTAACTGGTTCTCAAATTTGCATTGTACCGAATTCAGCCTGTTCAGAACATGCATAAAAAGTCATGTTTATATTTCCGTGGGTTCTGAAATTTGTGTACACCGACTTTAGCACCAAATCCGTCAATATTTCTGCCGTTTATTAAATGCATCTTCCACTTTCTACATACCTCTTTGATTAATTGTCTTCTAAATTCTTGCTTATCATTGATTCTACTCGGTTTGTATGACAATTCGGACATGGAAGATATAAAAAATAACTCCATTTGAATTTTGTTTTAGATGGTAACGCCATGTAGAAATTCAGAACTTTCAATGCGCTGGAAAAATCACTTGATCAATCAAACTATCACTCTTATTAATAGTACCTTGAGTAGATGCACAACGAAGTCACAGCATGGAAAAAGCTTCAATTAATAATGATAATATTATGTATTTTCATATAGCACAAATATCCATCACGAAAGGTATTACGCCTGCTCTGCTAGACTACAGATTGGGTTGCTTACAGCTTTCAAAGAATTCCTTCCTGCCGGTACCTCTTTAACACCTGTGTGGAAAGTGGCAAATGTGAATTAATGTTTTGCCAGAGGACTTAAGCGCTATGGCGGGACTTGAACCACAATCCATGTGATCCACAGTTGGAAGAGGTATCCACTAGACCATGACGCCTTGAATGTGCATTTCAACTCCTAGAATTGTATGTGTTTGTGTTTTTCTGCTGACAGCATTACATACATGAACAAGACCTGTTAACTCGGGCCTCACGACAAACTGTCTATTCACTTCCTTTGTTGGGATAGCAGCGACATCAGGAGACAAATTGGATCCATCGGAGGGCAGCTATCATCCCATCTTCCCCGGGGCTATATCCCCCGCCCTCATCCCCTCTTCCACCAAAGTGAGGACAGTTAATGGGAAATAAATCATAACGCTTCCAGCAAGCACGAGTCGGCTCTTAATTCAGCACCAAGAAACCAGCATGTGCCAGAAGAATAGGGGGAAAATTGATCATTTTCCAATCTGCGGGTGCTGTAATTAATTTATCAGGCTCATCAGCAGCAATCTGGTATCGTAAAGCAGATTTCTGGCGATTAAACTAGATCATGTTTTCTCGCCATTATTGAATTATCAGGTTGTGTTTCTTTAAGGTTTATAGCGTGCATGCACAAACGACTTAGTAAAATGCCTTGAATAAGACAGAGCTGCAAACTCAAATAACACAAGCAAAGTGTTCTGCACATAATGATAATAATATTCCGCTTTTAGGTAGCACCCAATAAATCAATACAACGATGTGCCTAAACGCTTTACAGATATATTATTACCCTGTTCATCGGATTCAGGCTTACCCGCACACAAATGTATGCACAGTTTCCAC